GAGAACTATACCGAGCTAAGAGCTACGATTAGAATTTAATTTAGAATCACAATTTAGAATTTAAGAGCTACGATTGTAATTTTACTTATAATGTATGTATAATATAGTTGTACATATAGTTTTATACAGTCATATATATTACTAACCTAACCCAGCCTAATGTAATCTAACCCAACCTATACATTCACAGTTTACAGTGCAATTATAAGAATTTTTGAAAAATTATGTAGTATCATTGTGGTGCCCTCATCAGTCACCACTGCGTGTACCGGCTAGGTACGGTATTGGCAGCAAGCTGTGACGTCAGCTGACGCATGCGCATAAAGCTCTCGCGTGAGATAAAATCTCACGACTGCTCCTTGGCATGCGCGAGCAGCGCGCAGGAGGAATATACACGATAATGAGTATGCAAAATCGTTAATTACTCACTTTCTGAGCACAGTCTATGAACTTTTATGGTTAAAGAATGTTCAGAGATTCCCTAGCTACTTTCTCATATCACATATGTTCACATTTTTATTGTTAATAATTAGTTATTGATTAATATCCAACACGAAGTCGGCGGAATACATCGTACGCATGAGCTAGTATGAAATATTTAATAACACATTTGCTAAACACAATTTATGCACTTTTATTATAAAAGAATGTTCAGTGAACCCTCAGCTACTTTCTCGTATCATATCTGTTCAGATTTTTAATGAAATTAATTAATTATTAGCTAATAATCTAAGGTCAGCCACGGTGACAAGCGGTATGCACGAGGTCATTTTGCATAATTAATTACACGTTTTGTGGATACATTTTGTGCACTTTTATGGTTGAAGAGATTTTTATGATTAAAGAATCGTCAGCAATGCATTATTTACATGGTTCGATCATGAAAGTTCATAAATAATGTTCGGGTAATGAGTAATTAATTATTTTGTGTCAGTATTGCGATACGTACATCAGCCGCCTATGTCAATTGTACTGCACATGCAAAGTGCAATATTTCGGCACTTTGACAACGTAGTATGGTTCCTGAGGCATTTAGAAACAAGTTTCTATTAGGGTTTGATGCGTTTCGATGCCTAATAAAGTCAGGAAATCAATTTTTGTCGAATTCGGTCGAAAACGGTACAGGTGGCGCCATCTAGCGGCGAGCGGCGCGGTAGCGGCGAGCGGCGGAACTACGAAAAACTAAAATTTCGATTTTCTCCGAAATTAGGCAATTTTACGTATTTCTGAGGGTCAGAAATTGTTCTGCGACTTCTCTAGAACCTATATAATGCCACAAGAACCTCCTCAGAGCGCTAGAAAAGAAAATAGAAAAATAGTCCAAAACATGGACTAAAAAATTGGCGTCCATCTAGCGGTGAAAGTTGGAACTACAAAAAAATAAAATTTCGATTTTCTCGTAAACTAGCGAATTTTAAGTACTTCAGAGGCTCAGAAAGTGTTATGTGATCCCATTAGAAGCAAAATAGTGCAATAAAAGCTTCCTAAAGACTTTAATAAAGAAAATAAAAAAAATGTCATTTTATGGAGAAAATTTGTGGCGCCATCTAGCGGCGAAACCGCGAACTAAACCGAAAAACGTATGTCCGAACACGCATTAAGGGGTCAAATAAAAATTGATTTTCTGCATGAATAACTTATTCAACAAAAATTGCTTTAAAATGTCTAAAGAAGCACACCACGTCGTCGAAGTTGCGAAATATTACGTTTTATATTTTTCCTTAACGCGTGTTCGGACATACGTTTTTTCAGTTTAGTTCGCAGTTTCGCCGCTAGATGGCGCCACAAATTTTTTCCATAAAATGCCATTTTTTTTATTTTCTTTATTAAAGCTTTCAGGAAACTTTTATTGCTTTATTTTGCTTCTAATGCGATCACGTAACACTTTCCGAGCGTCAGAAGTACCCAAAGTTCGCTAATTTTCTAGAAAATCGCATTTTTATATTTTTGTAGTTCCAACTTTCACCGCTAGATGGACGCCAATTTTTTAGTCCATGAAATGGGCTATTTTTCTATCTTCCTTAATAATTGTCCTAGCGAGCTATAATTACATTCGTCCGATTCCGTAGGCGACAAGGAACAATTTGTATATCTCAGAATTTCGGAAAAGTCCTTAGTTTTTGAGAAAATCGAAATTTTATTTTTTCGTAGTTCCGCCGCTCGCCGCTAGATGGCGCCACCTGTACCGTTTTCGACCGAATTCGACAAAAATTGATTTCCTGGCTTTATTAGGCATCAAAACGCATCAAACCCTAATAGAAATTTGTTTCTAAATGCCTCAAGAACCATACTACGTCGTCAAAGTGCCGAAATATTCATTTTTTTATTTTCCTTATATGCGTGTTCGTACCCTCACTTTTTAGGATTAGTTTTTTCGGTGATTATTCGTTCGTGGCAAGTCCGATTAAAATTTTTTTTTTCTCTGTCCATCTGGATGTACATACGCATGTGCATGCAAAATTTGACGAGAATTGGTTGAGTGGTGCAAAAGAAAAACGCGGACAAAGAAATTGCAAAGTCAAGTATAAGAGCTTCGCTCGCCTTCGACTCGCTCGCTCAATAATACCAATAATTATAATACCAAGATATATCAAAAGAAACAGATATTATGGTGACTTACGTTTGAAGCAACCCAACTGAGGATTTCCAGAATAACCGGGTGAGCAGGAGCAGGATGGGTAGTGATCGACGACGTTGCACCTTGCATTTGGACCGCAATTGCACGGATTGATGCACAAGTTGTTGACACAGGCAGCATTGCCCGCGCAGTCGCTGTTCGAGGTACATTCAGCCATAATTTCCGCTGCAGAAAAGCATTGTTTCGTTCGATTATAATGGTTCAATTGTTCAATTTCAAAAGCAAAATTGTTCAAAATTAAATCGAATGCCCAGTGTCGAACTTACGTGGTACACAATTGAGTCTGGAATCACCGACGTAGTTAGCAGGACACCTGCATATCGGAGTATGGTTATCCACGTGACACAACGCGTTCCTGCCACACGTGTCTTCAGCAACACATGGATTCACGCAAAGAGAGTTGATGCACTGTTTGTCAGTCGAACATTCGCTGTTGGCGTAGCATTCTGGGCGAATTGGTGGCAGTGGTATTACAGGGACTGCAATATAGATATTTTGTTAGGTTTTTGAATTTTAAGAGATTGATTATATTTGACACAAGTTGAAACTCACATCTGATGCACTCGATGTAGGCGTTGCCAGTAAATTCAGGCGAGCACTGGCAGATTCCTGTGTGGGACGTAGATTTACATTGAGCGTTCAGGCCACACTGGGTGGTGAGGCAGGCTTCGATGCATGTTCCATCGATGCATTTATCAGAGTCGTTGCAGTCTTGATCTTGGTGACACTTGACGTCCGCTAGCACTGTAGATATTTATAGTAATAAATGTGCTATTCTGAATCGATACACTTCAATCAGTACTTACCGATCTTCTTGCACAGTCCATTGATGTCGGTGATGGTATTTGGTGGACAGGTGCAGATCATCGTTCGAAGCGGTACCGTGTTCAATACTTTGCATTGTTGGTCTCCAGAGCACATGTTCAAGGACAGGCAAGGATCTTGGCATTTTGCGTTGATGCACGCCAAGTATGCTGAACATTCGCTGTCCTCTCTGCACTCCACATCGACGGGCACACCTGGTTAAAAGACAACCATAGTAAATTAAGTAATTCTCGATTCTGAATTCGTAATAATTTGAGTGTATTTGAATCGTCGTAACAAGGTAAAGCCCTGGACAGAGCCTCCTCTGCTTGCAAAGCTTAGAGGAGGGTCAGAAAGATTTAAGAGCCAGCTTTCACAGAATACAGCTCCAGCAAGGTATACATAACTGATCTATAGTATTTACCAGTGCACTCGACGTAAGCGTTTCCCACAGTTCCCGCAGGACAATTGCACTTCGGTTGATGGTTCCTAGCAACGCACTCCGCGGTCTCAGCACAGGTATCGTCCTCGCAAACAGGTCGACAAACTCTGTTCAACCTGTCGCAAGCTTCGTGATCAGCACAGTCTTCGTTATAATGGCACACCGCAGAAATGCAAGCGATTCGAGGGTCACCCTGGGTGCCTCGGGGGCAAACGCATTGCGCCCTGTGCGAAACCGCGATGCACTCTGCACCACGACCGCAGGCAATGTCTCCCACCAGACATGGAGTGACACAGTTGTCGCTCAGACAGGTCTTGTCATCGGGACAGTCGCTGTCTGCTTTGCACTCGGCTGAAAAGAAAATACATTAAATTTATATTATAGATTTTTGCTTTTGAGGTTGATCGTTATTGGATACATACGTTTGAAACATTGCACTTGGGGATCACCGGCATAGTTCTGTTGGCAGTGACAGGTTGGATGGTGATTGACGGTGACGCACTCTGCGTTCAGTCCACATTGGGTGCTGACACATGGATTTTGACATAGTTGGTTTATGCAAGCCTCGCTGGAGACGCAGTCGGAATTCCTTGTGCACTCCGGGAATGAGTCAGTGTCTGTAAAAATTAAAATGATTTAATCACGGTATTCATTTACTAATTCAGTCAGTAACTTAAGACGTCAGCCACACTTCATGGCTACATGATATTTCTTGTGGTAGTTATTAATTCATTGATAGTTACCTCTGTAGCAATTAACGAACGGATCACCGGTCGTCCCTCGAGAACAGTGACACTGACGATAATGATCTTGAACCGAGCACTCTGCATTGGATGCACAAGGACTGATGATGCACGGGTTGATACACTGTTCGTTCAAACAAGCCAGATTGGAGGTGCACTCGGAGTCAGCTTTGCAGATCGCTTCAATTTGTTTGTCCACTAAAATAAGACATCGTGATTATTATTATTATTCCAACTTTCATCATTCGAAATAGGATTATGCAATTCTTACCCGGAATGCAAGCTACAGTCGCGTCGCCAGCGAAATTTGGCAGACATTCGCAGATCATAGTTCTCATAGGCAAAGTGTCCACAACGGAACATTTCGCGCCAGCGATGCAAGGTTTCGTTTCGATACATGGATCTTTACAGACGCCACCGAAGCAACCCAGTTTGCTGGGACAGTCTCCGTCCACCTGACACTGAGGCTGTGGTTCTATCGGTTCTGATAAATGAACAATTAATTAATTCGCTGCGTTTACTATACATTTTATAATTAAATCTGAATAATTACCCATCAGACAGGATTTATAAGGATCACCGGTGTAGCCCGGAGGGCAGCGACACGTAGGACGATGATTGATGACGAAGCACTGAGCCGAGAGTGGGCAATTACAAGGATTCACGCATTTCAGGTCGCGACACGCCAACGAAGATGGACAGTCGTTGTCGTTGGTGCACTCTGCTCTTTCGCATCTCTGATATGGATTACCCAGGTATCCTTCGGGACAGTAGCACCGTGGTCTGTGGTACCCGTCGGACGAACACAGCGCGTTGATGCCACATTGTGTCACCGAGCAGGCGTCCACGCACTCGTTGTTGATGCACGATTGGGTCAGTGGACAATCGCTGTCACCGCGACATCCAACTGTGAAAAATAAATATTTCATCATTTCATAAACTGTCTCACGTACAATACTTATTAATTTCATGCATAAAACTCCTTCATTTTCTGTATAATACTTGTTCATTTCATGTATAATACTCGTTCATTTTGTGTACAATACTGTGGTGTGTGTGAACTATGTAACTGTACGAGTGGCATGAGTGTATGTGAATGAAGCTTGCTTGTAATGAAACTTGATATGAAATCTTGAGAATCTACAAATCTTGAGAAAACTTCAAAAATAAAAATAGCAAAATCGTTTCACAATACGTACTCTCGCGACAGAACTGTTGAGGGTTGCCAGTGAATCCTTCGTTGCAGACGCAAACAGCCCTATGCAGTTGCACGTGACACCGACTATTGTAGCCGCAGGAATCAAGAGTGCAAGGATCGACGCATTTCTGATTATAACAAGTCTTATCGTTCGGGCATTCAGAATTCTGAGTGCACTCCGGTATCGGTTCTTCGACCACGGGTATCGTGCACTGGATCCTAGCGTTGCCAGTGAAACCAGAGGGACACGAGCAGACGGGCTTATGGTTGACCGTTTGACATAGCGAATTGATTCCGCAGGCACCGATGCAAGGATCTCTGCATTTCTGCGCGAAGCAGGCCTTGTCTCGAGGACAGTCGGAGTTGATGACACATTCTGGATAAATGCAGACAGCGACGCCGTTCCTGACTCTGCACTCGCCGTTGTAGGTGCACGGAGATGGGCTGCAAGGATCGGTTTCTGAAAAGAAATCGTTACGTTATAGCATCGTGTCAGTATGGACATCGTGTCAGAATGTGATCTCGTGTTGTGTACCGATTTTCGGGTAGCATTCTTCGAAGGGATTGCCGATCAATGAAGAGGGGCAGCTGCAAAGTGGGCTGTGGTTGATCGCCTTGCAGATGGCCTTGATGCCACAAACATTCTGCGTGCAGGGGTTGATGCATTTGTTGTTGATGCAAGCCTTGTCTCCTGGGCAGTCAGAGCTGATGACGCACTCTGGGTGACAGCCAGTGATGCTGGATGGAATTCCTAGCAGACCAGGGAGACACTTGCAGACTGCAGTGTCGCCGACCTTGTCGCAGACGGTGTTTGGACCACATGGCGATGGTGAGCAGGGATCCCTCTCTTTTGGAACTGTATTTCATTCCATTTAGTATGTGTGTACATTTAATCGCGAGTCAAATGTCTCGGTACCTTCTTGGTAATCAAATTCTCTAGTCAAGTATCTAAATACCTTCTGGAACCGCTTGGCAAAGAGTGAAGGCGTCTCCGATGGTGAGAGCAGGACAAGAGCAGATAGGAATGTGGTTGGACATTCAAAAATAAAAATAGCAAAATCGTTTCACAATACGTACTCTCGCGACAGAACTGTTGAGGGTTGCCAGTGAATCCTTCGTTGCAGACGCAAACAGCCCTATGCAGTTGCACGTGACACCGACTATTGTAGCCGCAGGAATCAAGAGTGCAAGGATCGACGCATTTCTGATTATAACAAGTCTTATCGTTCGGGCATTCAGAATTCTGAGTGCACTCCGGTATCGGTTCTTCGACCACGGGTATCGTGCACTGGATCCTAGCGTTGCCAGTGAAACCAGAGGGACACGAGCAGACGGGCTTATGGTTGACCGTTTGACATAGCGAATTGATTCCGCAGGCACCGATGCAAGGATCTCTGCATTTCTGCGCGAAGCAGGCCTTGTCTCGAGGACAGTCGGAGTTGATGACACATTCTGGATAAATGCAGACAGCGACGCCGTTCCTGACTCTGCACTCGCCGTTGTAGGTGCACGGAGATGGGCTGCAAGGATCGGTTTCTGAAAAGAAATCGTTACGTTATAGCATCGTGTCAGTATGGACATCGTGTCAGAATGTGATCTCGTGTTGTGTACCGATTTTCGGGTAGCATTCTTCGAAGGGATTGCCGATCAATGAAGAGGGGCAGCTGCAAAGTGGGCTGTGGTTGATCGCCTTGCAGATGGCCTTGATGCCACAAACATTCTGCGTGCAGGGGTTGATGCATTTGTTGTTGATGCAAGCCTTGTCTCCTGGGCAGTCAGAGCTGATGACGCACTCTGGGTGACAGCCAGTGATGCTGGATGGAATTCCTAGCAGACCAGGGAGACACTTGCAGACTGCAGTGTCGCCGACCTTGTCGCAGACGGTGTTTGGACCACATGGCGATGGTGAGCAGGGATCCCTCTCTTTTGGAACTGTATTTCATTCCATTTAGTATGTGTGTACATTTAATCGCGAGTCAAATGTCTCGGTACCTTCTTGGTAATCAAATTCTCTAGTCAAGTATCTAAATACCTTCTGGAACCGCTTGGCAAAGAGTGAAGGCGTCTCCGATGGTGAGAGCAGGACAAGAGCAGATAGGAATGTGGTTGGACACCGCACAGATCGCTCCGACTCCACAAGTGCCGGGACAAGGATCCTGGCACTTGGTCCTGATGCAAGCTTGCGATTTCGGACAGTCGGTGTTCATCAAACATTCAGGTTGACAGCCTTCGTACGGATTTCCTCTGTAATCGGGCAGACACTCGCAGTACGCGGTGTTGTACCTTTCTCTGCAGTACGCGTTGACGCCGCAAGGTGAAGGACTGCACGGTCTCGATGGCGTTGGTGGCGCGGGTGTAACTAAAAATCACAAGACAGTCAAATTAATAAACAAAGTTAATAGAAGAGACAGTCGAGACAGTCAAAGTTAATTTACAAGAAAGCGAATTGAATGTACAGAAGAGATGTGAAACTGAAGAGAATGAAGAACGTGTATGAATAAAATCTGATAAGAATATCAAAATAGAAAAGATACTAATCGACATGCAATCTTTCGTGTATCGTACAATCTTTATATACAGTATTTACAGATGACTGAAAAATTGAATTGTTAAAATTATCCGAATGACTGCGTTGAAGAATGATTTCGTTTTAGAATTGTGACAGGGGTATTCCTTACTGTTGATCACGGAACAAACTGTGAACGGGTCTCCGGTGTATCCTTCGGGACACACGCAACGGATGTAATGCAGGGTAACTTGGCAGAGAGCGTTAGTGCCGCACAGTCCTGTGCAGGGGTCGGTACATCTCTGCCTAACGCAAGCCTGATTGCCGGGACACTCGCTGTTCACGAGACATTCGGGTCTACAGACGGGAGGAGAGCCTACGAACTCGGGCAAACAGGAACAGGAGGCTTTATTATCTGGCGACACTGTGCATTGGGAGTTTGGTCCACACGGCGAGGGTTTGCATGGGTCCTGGCTGGGTTCCTCGTACTGCGGTTCTGCTTAGCAAACGTTCTCGTTGGGTTAATACTGAAATTTTTAATGCTCCAATGCTGTCCAAGTTCGAATCTCAAAATGATCTTTGAATAAGTCATGCATGGAGAGTTATTAAGAGTTATAGAATAGGGGGTAGAATTATGGACAGCACTGGCTCAGACATCTTCGGGGTACTTACTCATAGGGAAGCAGCTGACGAACGGGTCACCCGAATACTGAACGGGGCAGCTGCAAATGGGGTTGTGGTTGCGCACGGCGCACAACGCGTTCTGACCGCAAGCGTTTTCGCACGGGTTCTGGCACTTCTCGTTCATGCAAGCTCTGCTCTGTTCGCAGTCAGAGTTGACGAGGCACTCGGGTCTGCAACTGGGTGGAGTTCCAAGGTATCCAGGGAGACACGAACAGGATGCCTGCTCGCCGAATTCGCGACAGAAGCTGTTTGGTCCACAGGGTGAGGGCTCGCAGGGTTTCACGCGTTCTATCGTTACGCAAGACAAATCGTTATTAAGTGGGTCTATGAGTTGTTCTTTGCAACTGGTCCTACACTCACTTCTGATCGGTTTACAGAGGGTGAACGGATCGCCTTCGTGGTTTCCTACGCAACTGCAGGTGGGGATGTGATTCACGACCGTGCACTCCGCGTTCTGACCACAGATTCCGGTGCAGGGGTTCATGCATTTGTTGTTGGAGCAAGCTCTGTCGTAGGTACAGTCGGAATTTTGTACGCATTCGGGACGACATCCTTGATAAGGATCGCCATGGTATTCGTTTATGCAGCTACAAATTCCGTTTCGACATAACGCGTTTGGTCCACAGGGTGAGGGGTTGCATGGGTCAGATGGTACTGGTAGAATAGCTGCGATTTGTTAAAACAAGGATTAATCGTCAGTTATATAACTCTCTTTGGCATAAAATTAATCGAATTCTTACGAGTGGGCATTAGGTGGCAACTGGTGAAGGGGTCTCCCGTGTAATCTCTGGGACAGGTGCAAATCGGTGTGTGATTGATCACGTTACACAACGCGTTAGCTCCGCAAGATCCAGGACAAGGGTCCCTGCACTTTTCCCTAATACAAGCTTTGTCACTGGTGCAATCAGAGTTAATGGAACACTCCGGTCGGCAGTTCGGAGCCGACCCAACATAATTCGGCAAACACGAACAGGACGGGACACCTCCTATGTCCTGACATTGCGAGAATGGTCCACAGGGCGATGGAACGCAAGGATTCACAGGAACAGACGGAACCGTAGCTAAAATACGTCAAATTAAATACTGGTTCCAAGGACTCTGATAGGCATAATTCATAACACTTACGGGCAACGTCGAAGCATTTAACAAACGGATCTCCAGTTTGACCCGGGCTACAGCTACAAATGGGACTGTGGTGGAAGGTCTCGCATCTGGCGCTTATTCCGCAGACACCGGGACAAGGGTCAACGCACTTCTGGTTCACGCAGGCCATGTTACTGACACATTCTGTGCTGACTACGCACTCGGGTCTGCATCTTGGAGGAGTGCCCTTGAACGTGGGTAAGCAAGAACAGGTAGCCTGGCCATTCACGTTACGACACTGACTGTTTGGACCGCAGGGCGATGGCTCGCAAGGGTTGGTAGGACTTTTTTCAGCTGTTTGAAACGCAACATTGTTACATCAAGTGATCTTGCTTATAATAGTGTCTCATTTAACCCAAAATATCTTTGAGACAGAAATGTTGATGATACATAAAAATGTTATAGATGATAGATACATGATTTCAAGTTTGTAAACATGTTTACACAAAAGTGATCCTAACACGAAAGTATTAAATAACTTGAAATCATATAATATTAGTCTAAAACATTTTTGCATATGATCAATATTTCAGAGGGTCAATTGAAATGAGACACCTTGTCTGATGGCTGAAGATTAACAACTTACGAGGCTGTTCGAGCAGCCCACAAGACCTGAAAGGATCTCCGGTGTACCCAAGCTGACAGCTGCAAGCTGGTATGTGATTAACGACCTGACACACGGCATTGAATCCACAAGTTCCAGGACAGGGATCTTGACACTTGTTTCTTATGCACGCTCGGTTAAATGGACAGTCAGAATTGATGAGACACTCGGGTCTGCAGTTCTCGTATGGGTTTCCGTAGAACTCGGGTAAGCAAGTACAAACGGCAGCGCCATAAGATTCGCGACAGACCGCGTTAGCTGCGCAGGGAGATGGCTGGCATGGGTTGGGTTTCTGTGGCGCTTCTTCGACTGCGAAGGAAATGAAAGAGTTACGACAAGGTTCTTTGATGTGTACCTGTGGATGTGCAATGAGTCTTACTTGGTCGAGGAGTGCACTGGACGAACGGATTTCCGGTGAAACCAGGGGCACAAGTGCACATGGGAGTGTGGCTGATGGTTCTACACTCGGTGTTGCTGCCACACGAGCCAGGACAAGGGTCTCTGCACTTCTGATTGATACAAGCCTGCTGCGCCGGGCATTCTGTATTGCTCACGCATTCGGGTTTGCAGTTTGGTGGGCTTCCTAAGAACTCGGGTAGACAAGAACACGAGGGAGAGTTGTTGATGACCTGACAGAGGGCGTTTGGACCGCAGGGTGAGGGCTGACAAGGATTTACTACGACATCTGGCTCTTTTCCTAAAAAAGGATGATTGTTAAACATGGTTCTCGGTACACGTCCACCTTAGAATTAATTGACTCTTACTGAATGGAATGCACTGAACGAACGGGTCACCCGTGTACTGTTCGAAACAGCTGCAAACGGGGTTGTGGTTAATCACGGAACATTGTGCCGACAGTCCACAAGCACCCAGGCAGGGATCGATACATTTCTGGTTACTACAAGCCCTGTTTCGTGGACAGTCAGAGCTGACAACGCACTCTGGTCTGCAGGAGGGTGGAGATCCTTTGAATCCGGTGACACAGGAGCAGACAGCTTGACCGTTAGTGGCGCGGCAATGACTGTTCGGACCGCAGGGAGATGGGTTGCACGGATCAACGGTGCTGATTTCTGTCATACAACATATTCTTCTGTTAGCTTAGGTTCTTTAAAAGGTCGAATTTCGAAACTATGAAACGAACCTTGCACAGGGGTACATGACAAGAACGCGTTACCCGTGGTGTTTCTGGGACAACTACACATAGGCAGATGGTTGATGACATTGCACTCGGCGTTCAGTCCACAAGTGCCTACACACGGGTTTCTACACCTATGAAGTATGCAGGCCTCGTTTCGGGAACAGTCTGTGTTTATGACGCACTCGGGACGGCAAATAGCGTAAGGGTCGCCTAAATAACCGGATATGCACGTGCAAACACCGTTGTCGCACTGTGCGTTTGGTCCACACGGTGATGGGTTGCAGGGGTCTGACGGGGCTTCCGTTACTGGAACAAATGGAGAAATGTACGCGTTCGAAGACAACGCGATCGAAGGACTATCGGTATTCTTACTGGGCGTTGAAGGTGTAGGAGAGCAGCTGGTGAAAGGATCACCGGTGTATCCTTCGGGACAAGTGCAAGCCGGCGTGTGGTTCACGACCGTGCAATGAGCGGCAATGCCACAGGAGCCTGGGCAGGGATCTCTACACTTCTCCCGAATGCAAGCTCTGTTCGCTATGCAGTCTGAATTGATGGAACATTCTGGTCGACAGTTGGGAGGTACTCCGATGTAGTTGTTCATACAAGTGCAAACCGGGGTGTCTCCGATAGCTTTGCACATCGCGTTTGGACCGCAAGGGGATGGAACGCACGGGTCTTTCGGGTACCGGTCTTCTGGCTTAGGCACTGTGAATAAAACTCGTTATAATACATGGGATCAGAAATGAAGTTAATATGTCTTTTGAAGGCAGCTTACTTGGAGCAGAGAAACAGAACACGAATGGGTCTCCCGTCATACCGTTTCCGCAGCTACAAATTGGACTGTGATGAACGACTTTACATTGCGCGTTGCGACCGCAGGTACCAGGACAGGGATCTCTGCACTTCTGATTGATACACGCGAGGTTCGAATTGCACTCCGAGTTCACTACGCACTCTGGTCTACAATTAGGCGGAGTTCCTATGTACTGAGGCATGCAAGAGCACACGGCCTGGCCATTGACGTTCTGGCACTGGCTGTTGGGGCCGCAAGGTGATGGACTGCACACGTCACGTTCCTCTTCGTCGACTGCAAAACGTTCACATTGAATAGTCCGTTTGAAAGGACGAGACTCACTGTGTTGAGCCACTACTCATGTTCAGTTGCTACTCACGTGTTGGCATCTTGTACATGCAATTGACGTACGGGTCACCGGTGTATTGCGGAATGCAAGTGCACACGGGTAAGTGGTTAACGACCTGACAGTTGGTGTTGGCGCCGCAAGAACCGGGGCAAGGATTCTGGCACTTAGACCTGATACAAGATAACTGCGAGGGACAGTCCGAAGAAATGGTACATTCCGGTCGACATCCTTCGTAAGGATTGCCGACGTACTCGGGCAAACAGGTGCAGGAAGTAAGGCCATTTTGCTCTCGACAAATGGCGTTAGCTCCGCAGGGGGACGGCTGACAGGGTCGTGCCGGAATCACTGGCTCCGCTAAAAGGAACAACAAAATTATTAAATCCAATCGTTAAAAAAATATTCGTATAGATCTCTACAATTTTATACCCTCCAATCTTAAATAATAACTTTAGCCAGCAAGGCACTTACGTTGCTTGGCAGTGCACTGAACGAACGGATCTCCCGTAAAATCCCTCATGCAACTACAAGCTGGAATATGGTTGACAACATGACATTCCGCATTCGCGCCACAGGAACCTGGACAGGGGTCTCTGCATTTGCGATTAATGCACGCCGATTGGCTACTGCACTCGCTGTTACTGACACATTCGGGTCTGCAATTTGGCGGTGTTCCAATGAACTCCGACTTGCAGGAACAGGATGGAGAGTTATTGATCACTCGACAATCTGCGTTGGGTCCACACGGTGATGGTTGACATGGATTTGTCGGTTGTACAGGTTCCTCCGCTTTAAAAGGGGAATAGATTAAATTGTGGTTGATATCATCCTAGTATCCTTTATAAAGTACACCTACGTCTGGGTATGCATCGCACGAACGGATCGCCGGTGAACACTGCAGGGCAACTGCAAATGGGGTTGTGGTTCACCACTTGACACCGGGCTGACACTCCGCAGGACCCAGGACAGGGGTCTCTACACTTCAGATTCACGCACGCCTCGTTCAACGGACAATCGCTGTTCACGAGACACTCTGGACGACAGGCTGGAGGGTTTCCGATGTAACCTGGGGCGCACGAACATACTGCCTGTCCGCCGATGTCCTGGCATCTACTGTTGGGGCCGCAGGGTGACGGGTTGCAAGGTTCAACTACTACTGGGTCTGTAAAGTTAACGATGCTAATGTATTCTGTCAAGGGCGCCGGACTGTCAGCTTCTTCTCCGAGGCTTACCTTTGACCGGGTAACAGGCGGTGAACGCGTTTCCAGACATGCCATCCGGACAATTGCACATGGGAGTGTGATTGATCACCACGCACTCGGCGTTCTGACCGCAGGCGCCAGCGCAGGGGTCGAAACACCTGTTGCGATTGCAAGCTCTGTCGAGTGGGCAGTCTGGGTTCTGGACGCATTCTGGACGACATCCGTAGTAGGGGTCACCGTGATATTCGGGCAGGCAAGTACACACGCCGTTGCGACACATCGCGTTCGACCCGCATGGCGAGGGATTGCAGGAGTCTTGAGGAACCGGTGGAGATGCTACAGCGAATGATATATTAGAATAGGTTCCAAGCTTTTGATAATGTTGAGGTGATAAGTTCTTACGAGGTGATTCTAAGAAACAGTTGACGAATGGATCGCCGGTGTATCCTTTGGGACATGTACAGACGGCCATGTGGTTCACGACTAAGCACTGAGCTCCAGTGCCACATGATCCTGGGCAAGGATCTGTGCACTTTTGTCTCAGGCAAGCTCTGTTGCTGGTACATTCCGAATCGATGGTGCATTCTGGTCGACAGTTGGGCGGAGTTCCTATGTAGTTGTCCATGCACGAGCAACTTGGCAATTCCGCGTTGCCGAGAACACGGCACACGGAGAATGGACCGCACGGTGATGGAACACAAGGGTTTACAGTTTCGGGCATCGCTGAGAAAAAATACCGGTTAAGGTTCTAATTGTTTCTAAAATTAGGTCTCTAAGATAAGGGAATTACTCTAAAATTCGGGACAAGGTACTCACGTTGAAGTTTAAAGCATCTCACGAACGGATCACCGGTGTGACCCACGTTACAGCTGCAAATCGGACTATGGTTAATCGCCTCGCACCTCGCGTTAATACCGCAGATTCCAGGACAAGGGTCAACGCATTTGCGATTCTTGCAAGCGCGATTCGTGGCGCAGTCTGAGCTGACCGTGCACTCTGGTTTACAGAATGGCGGGGTTCCCATGAAGGTGGGCAAGCAGGAACAAATAGCCTGTCCATTGGACACGCGACATTGACTGTTCAGACCGCAAGGCGTGGGACTGCAAGGGTCAGCTGGTTTCGCTGAAAGAACATTAATTAAGTGACCAGTTCTAAACATTGTCTTCAGGGTCTGATCTGGTCCATCCCATGATATTCAGGTCTGGTCATTGACTTACGTGCTTCTTGGATGATGTTACATTGAACGAATGGGTCACCGGAGTAACCGATCTGACAAGTGCAAAGTGGAGCGTGGTTGACAACCTGGCAGACTGCGTTGTAGCCACAGAATCCTGGACAAGGATTCTGACACTTGGAGTTAACGCAAGCCTGATTGGCCGTGCAGTCGGAATTGATGATACACTCGGGTCGACAGCCCTCGTAGGGATTGCCGATGTAATCGGGAAGACATTTGCAGGCTGCGGCGCCATTCAGTTCGTTACACATTGCGTTTGACCCGCAGGGTGATGGTACGCACGGGGTGGGTTTCTCTACCTTGTCCTCCATAGCTACGACATCATTTGGTTATAACTTCGTTCCCTAATCGCTTATACCAAGAGCATTCTACCCCCCAAAAGTGGATCATCTCACCTGGTCGTGCAACGCATTGTATAAACGGATCACCAACGAAACCGTAAGAGCAAACGCACATCGGCGTGTGACTGATCACTCGACACTCCGCATTCGCGCCACAGGAACCAGGGCATGGGTCACGACACTTCCGGTTGATGCAGGCCAAATGCGTAGAGCACTCGCTGTTGCTGATGCACTCTGGTTTGCAGTTTGGTGGGGATCCAAGGAATTCCGGCAAGCACGAGCAAGATGGCGAGTTGTTCACTACTTGGCATCGACTGTTAGGACCGCACGGTGATGGGACGCACGGGTTCACAACTTGTGGTTCTTCCGCTATCGGAGGATTGAAATATGTAATTTCAAGGATCGGATTTTGTAATTTCAAGGATCGAATACTCACGTTTTCTAATGCACATCGAGAAGGGATCGCCTACGAGGTCAGCAGGGCAGCTACAAATCGGGTTGTGGTTGACGACCACGCACTCGGCTCTGATACCGCAAGTGCCTGGACAGGGATCTACGCATTTCTGGTTGTTGCAGGCCATGTTTGTCGGACAATCGGAACTGAGGATGCACTCGGGTCTACAATTTGGTGGCGTGTCTAGGTAGCCGGGAATGCATGAACAAACAGCTTGGTCGTTTATCTTTCGGCACTGACTATTGGGTCCGCAAGGCGACGGGTTGCACGGGTCTTTGGGTGTTAATACTATTCACAGATAAAAGAAATAATGAGCTTTACACGTTCTATAATCCGCAGCAATTAAAAAGTCAGCAAATACCTTGAAGAGGAGAACAGACTACGAACGCGTTTCCGGACGTTCCCGGAGGGCAAGTGCAGACTGGAATGTGATTAACAACGGAGCACTCTGCATTCTGACCACAAGTTCCATTGCAAGGATTGTTACATTTGTTCTTAATACACGCCCTGTCTCTAGAACAGTCCGAGTTCAGAACGCATTCCGGACGACAGCCCAAGTACGGGTCTCCCTGGTACTCCGGCAAACAGGTGCAGACTCCATCCACACATTGCGTGTTCGCACCGCAATTGACACACGAATCCACGGGTTTCTCTTCTTGTACTACATTAACGAATTGTTAAAAATACCGTCTACAACATTCAAAGAGGGGTTTGAACAACATGTACCTGGAGCAAACGAGCATCTAACAAAAGGATCGCCAGAGAATCCGTCGGGACAAGTACACATTGGAGTGTGGTTGATCACGGAGCACTGAGCGCCCACACCGCAGACACCATCGCAAGGGTAACGACACTTCTTCTGAATGCACGCCTGGTTGCTTGGACAGTCTGAGTTTCTTATACACTCCGGTCTACAATTTGGCGGGGTTCCCATGTAGTCTGCTAAGCAGGCACAGGAAGCCTGGCCATTTATGTTGCGACAGTCCGAGTAGGGACCGCATGGAGAGGGTGCGCACGGGTTCACGTATGATGGCACGGGTGCAGGTTTATCCACTGCAACGAATACTCACGAGTTATGATCTGAACCATGTCAGATTTGTGAGGAAAATTGTGAGGCTCACTTGGTATATCGAAGCAGGTAACCAACGGGTCACCGGTGAATCCTGGCTGACAGGAGCATATGGCTCTGTGATTAATCGTTTCGCACCTAGTATTCGAACCGCACGATCCAGGACAAGGGTCGCTACACTTTTGATTGATACAAGCCAAGTTCGAGGCGCACTCGGCGCTAACCGTGCACTCGGGTCTGCAAGCTGGTGGGCTGCCTATGAATTCAGGCAAACACGAGCAAACTGATTGCCCGTTGATTGCTCTGCACTGACTGTTAGGTCCGCACGGAGATGGATTACAGGGACGACTGATTGCTTGATCAATTTCTAAAAGGGATCGGTGATTAGGTTGAAGATTCATGACAAATCCTCGTTCTTAAGGGTATTGAACGTACCTGGTCGGATGGGTGTACAGAGAACGAAAGCATTGCCAGTGTGTTTAGGGTAGCACTCGCATACCGGTAAGTGATTGATGACGTGACACTCCGCGTTGCGACCACAGGTTCCAGGACAAGGATCTCTACATCTGTTGTTCATGCAAGCTTGATTCGAAGGGCAATCGGTATTCAAGAGACACTCCGGTCGACATCCTTCATAGGGATTGCCGATGTAATTGGAAATGCAGGTGCACGAGCCTGCGCCGTTCAGTTCTTTGCAAACGGCGTTGGATCCGCAAGGAGATGGGTTGCAGGGATCGGCAGGTACGGGTGTGCTCGTAGCTGTAAAGTTCAACGTTTACGATCGAGGGACACACGAGTTCTTGCAGTAGATAAGATTCTTACGTTCTTTGAAGATGCACTGAGTGAACGGATCACCGGTGTAGCCACTCAGGCAAGTACACATGGGGGTGTGACTGACAACGTAACAGTTAGCACTCGCTCCGCAGGATCCGATGCAAGGATCCTTGCACTTCTGATTGATACACGCTAACTGGCTAGGACATTCGCTGTTGCTAACGCATTCTGGCCTGCAATTGGGTGGACTGCCGGTGAATTCGGGCATGCAGGAGCACGAAGGTGAGTCGTTGATCACCTGACACTGGGAGTTCGGACCGCAGGGTGATGGCTGGCAAGGGTCTACTACAGGCTGTTCCGCTGAAATAAGCAAACGTGTCGTTTCTATAACGGGAACATCTCGAGATTTAATTATTAAGGCGATTTCTTACTGATGGGGATGCATTGGACAAACGGGTCACCGGTGAAACTCAACGGACAACTGCATATGGGATTATGGTTGACAACGTTGCACTGGGCTCCGATTCCGCAAGTTCCGGGGCAGGGATTGATGCACCTCTGGTTACTGCACGCTTCGTTTTGCGGGCAGTCTGTGCTCACTATGCACTCGGGTCTACAGGTGGGTGGACTTCCTAGGTATCCTCTGATGCACGAGCAAACCGCTTGACCGTTCACAACGCGACACTCGCTATTGGGTCCGCAGGGTGTCGGGCTACACGGATTGACGGGTGTCATGTCTGACGAAAACAAAGTCAATTATTCCAGTTCTGAGAATATGCAGAAGGTCGGTTAGGTTAGGTGACTACCTTGCAGAGGGGTGCACTGACTGAACGCGTTTCCGGTCATGTTTCCAGGGCAGCTGCACATCGGGACGTGATTGATAACCGTGCAAACGGCAGCGATGCCGCAGGTTCCTGGACAGGGGTCCATGCACTTGTTACGCAAACAGGCTCTGTCTCGAGGGCAGTCTGAGTTTAGGACACACTCGGGTCGACATCCTAGGTACGGGTTTCCTTGGAACTCTGGCAAGCACGCGCAAGCGCCGTTCGAGCACTCCGCGTTGGGGCCGCAAGGTGACAGGGCACATTCGTCTTCTACCGGTGCTGGAGTGGCTGTAAAGGCAAACAACTTGTAGTAACACTCTACATGTTTCATTCCGTGGGTCACAGTGGTCCAGGAGTCCTTACGTATGGCTGGAAGTAACTGACAGACAGTAAACGGATTGCCGGTGAAACCTTCGGGACAGTTGCACACGGGGATGTGGTTAACGACCGCGCAAACGGCGCCAGAGCCACAAGAACCAGGACACGGATCTCTGCATTTCATGTTAATGCACGCCATGTTACTCTGACACTCGGAGTTAATCGTGCACTCGGGTCTGCAGTTAGGTGGTTGACCGATGTAGTCTCCTAAGCAGCTACAGGCAGCCGAACCACGGATATTTCTGCACTGGGCAAAATTGCCGCAGGGAGATGGTACGCACGGGTCTTTCTCCGTCGGGCCAGGGACCATAGGAGCTAGAAGTTGGGATCTCGTTAATTTCCATATTATGTGCAAGAAGTGCGAGAGGTGCGACTGGTGAAACTTCTTACGTGGTATCGGTGTACAGGTCGTGAAGGGATCTCCGCTATATCCTGGCATACAACTACAGATGGGACTGTGGTTAACCACGATGCATTTGGTGTTCAGACCGCAGGGGCTCGGGCACGGGTTCACGCATTTGTAGTCCTTGCAGGCGAGTTGAGTAGGGCACTCGGAGCTAGATACGCACTCGGGTCTACAACCGGGTGGAGTGCCTACGTAGGTGGGTAGACACGAGCACACTGCCTGACCTGATACCTCTTTGCACTGGCTGTTGGGTCCGCAGGGTGATGGACTACAGACGTTCTCTTTCGGGACTATTACTGGGAAACATATTGCAGTTTGTTATTCATTTTGTTATCCACATTCGAGCTCTTGGAATATTGTTCCGACGTGTAGCCAATACTGGCAGTAACTCTGTTAAAGATCTGATGATATATGTGTGAAATATAGTCGGAACAATATTTCAAAACGACAACGTGCATTAGCAAGTATGATTAGCAAGTTGGATCTTCAGGAAAATACACGGTTTCAGGGAAGACTGGTTCGACTTACTGTCCATGGTACACACGACAAACGGGTCGCCCGTAAAGCCGGGTCTACAGTTGCAGAGGGGTTGGTGATTAACGACCGCGCATTCGGCATTCTGGCCACAGGTTCCAGGACAAGGGTCTTGGCACTTGTTTCTGACACACGTTTTGCTGGACGGGCAATCAGGGTTAATCACGCACTCGGGTCTACAGCCTACGTAAGGATTGCCAACGTATTCAGGGGGGCAATAACAAATTCCGACACCGTCCCGTTCTCTGCACAACGCGTTTGTGCCGCAAACACCTTCGGCGCAGGGTGAGGGTTCCGGGTCACGAACTAGAACAATGCAAAATCAGAGATTAGTTTGTTACAACAGAATGGTCGCGTTATATGTTTCCAGCTTCTTACTTATTACTGAACAACGGGTATACGGGTCGCCGGTGAAACCGTTCGAGCACACGCAGTTCGGTACGTGGTACGTCACGTGACATTCTGCACTCTCCCCGCAGAGACCCGGGCAAGGGTCACTGCACTTTTGACGAACGCACGTTTGGTGGCTGGGGCACTCGGAGTTTGAGATGCACTCGGGTTTGCAGTTGGGCGGGCTGCCTTGGTACTCGGGCAGACAGGTACAGGATGGAATGTCATTGATCACCTGACACTGAGAGTATGGACCGCAGGGTGACGGTTGGCAAGGGTTCGTGGGCACTATTACTTCTTCTATGAAAAGTAAATTTTGTTACCTACTTTTTTCTAACTTATTTCACCTATGGCAGTGATGGGCAGATCAATAGTTCATGGTAGATGAATTCCTCATAGGTATGAGGGTTTAATAAGGGTGTAGGGAGAACTTAGAAAAAAGATTGGTAAAGACTGAGGAAATTTTACACAAATCCTGGGAGTGAGAGTTAAGGGAATCCTTCATCATGGGTAAACTCTTTTCGCAAGGGTTAAACAGAACCTACTAAAATCTTAAAAGCTAAGTTAGAGGGGTTGTAAACCTAGAGTGAGTGAGTTTAGGAAGTCAGGTAATTGCCCATCACTGATCTACAGCGTCACAATAAATTCTGTTCATCTTACTGATCATATCGCATCTGATGAACGGATCTCCCGTAAACCGTTCCGGGCAAGAGCACACGGGGTTATGGTTCACCACAAGACACGTCGCCTGAACACCGCACGTTCCTGGACACGGATCTCTGCATTTCTGATTCACGCAAGCCTGGTTCTTAGGACAGTCTGAGCTAATGGTACATTCTGGTCTACACAGAGGTGGTGTTCCAAAATAATCTGGAGCACATGTGCACACAGCTTGATCGTTCACTTCCCTACATATGCTGTTGGGACCGCATGGGGATGGATTGCACGGTCTTGTCGTTGTTGGAACTATGATTCAATAATTTCAAAATAATGTACTTGAGGTTTCAGTACATCAAATATAAACGTATATGAATGTGTACCTCGTACGGGAGAGCATAGAACCAAGGCGTTTCCGCTAGTCTGTGGGGGACAACTGCACATGGGTATGTGATTGATGACATTGCACACGGCGTTCTGAGCGCAAGCTCCTGGGCAAGGATCAACGCACTTGTTCCTTATGCACGCTTTGTCTGCCGAGCAGTCCGAACTGAGAACACATTCTGGGCGACAACCGATGTAGGGGTCTCCGAAGTATTCGGGTAAACAAGTGCAAACACCATTGTTGCACTGAGCGTTCGGACCGCAAGAAGATTGCCTGCATGGGTCTGTCACAGGTTCCTCGACAGCTGTTTCAATATCAACTCGTTAACAAGGGTCTTTATAGAGTCATCATATAAGGTCATATGTTATACAAGATCACCTTCCCTAATTACACCTTTCAGTAACTTACGCATTGGTTTAAGCTGGCAAATATTGAAAGGATCTCCCGTGTATCCCTCCAGACAAGTACAAATCGGAACATGATTGTGAACAGCGCACACACTGTTCAGACCGCAAGATCCAGGACAAGGATCCTGACACTTCTCGCGAATGCAAGCCTGACTTCTGGGGCAGTCGGTATTAGTAACACACTCTGGACGGCAATTGGGTGGGACACCGATGTAATTGACTGAGCAAGAACACGAAGGTGACCCGTTGATGTTACGACATTGCGAGTTCGGTCCGCAGGGTGAATTGACGCAGGGATCAACCGGTGTTTCGACCACGGCAACGGCTACAATAAATTATGTTTCATTTTTCTTTTCGAATCTTATGTTTTTCAAAAGAGCATAAACGAAGCTTACGTGGACTGTAGAAGCAGTAGGTGAACGGGTCACCAGTGAACCCTGGCTTGCAACTGCAGACAGGGCTATGGTTCACCACCCTACAAGTACTCTGTTGCCCGCAAGAGTTGGGACAAGGATCAACGCACTTATTATTCCTGCACGCAAGGTTCAGAGGACAGTCAGAGTTAACGCTGCACTCTGGTCTGCAATTAGGAGGTGTTCCAATGTAATTTGGCATGCAGGAACACGTGGCTTGACCGTTCGATTCTCTACATTGACTGTAGGGTCCGCAAGGTGACGGTTCGCAGGGATTGGCTACATTAGGCTCTGCAAGAAATTGTGGCTATCAATATCTGAATAACCATGTCTCGTTAGACGGATCGTTTTTAGTGTATCTTACGTTGTTCTAAGAAAGGGGTACAGAGGTAGAACGGATCACCGGTGTATCCTTCGGGGCAGTTGCAAGTAGCAGCGTGATTGATCACGTAACACTGAGCATTTTGAGCACAAGTGCCGGGACATGGGTCTCTGCACTTGGATCTGATGCAAGCTTGATTGGACGGACAGTCGGAACTGAGGGTACATTCTGGCCTGCATCCTTCGTAAGGGTTACCGATGTAGTCGTTCTGGCAAGAGCAGGAAGCCGAATTCTGTTGAACTCGACATATCGCGTTTGCACCACAGGGTGATGGAGTGCAAGGGTCTGGTCTGGGTACTTGAACGTCGACTAAAAATACGGAAGAATCACGTTAAAATCCATTAACAGAATTTCCATTGACATAATGGAAATTTAGATGGTCAATCCTTACATTTCTGTGGTATACACTGTGTAAACGGATCCCCAGTGTAGCCATTCGTGCACGCACACATCGGTGTGTGGCTGACAACGTTACAAATGGCGTTCACACCGCAGGAGTTTACGCAAGGGTCTCGACACTTTTGGTTGATGCAAGCTTGTTGATTAGGACACTCGCTATTACTGACGCATTCGGGTCGGCAGTTCGGGGGTGATCCTATGAACTCTTGAAGACAGGAACAGGATGGCTGGTCATTCACCACCTGGCACTCCGCGTTTGGACCGCAGGGGGATGGCAGACACGGATTGAGTGGAGGTACCGGTCTTTCAGCTTCAAGGTGCAAGATCAGATTAGTTGGATTCTTCTTTTACTACGAATTTCGATATTTGATTAGAGAATTCTTACGCATCGGCTGGCATCTGACGAATGGGTCACCCGTCATTCTCTCCCGACATGTGCACACAGGATTGTGATTGACCACGTTGCAGACTGCGTTCAGTCCACAGCTTCCTAGGCAAGGGTTCTGACATTTTTGATTGGAACACGCCTCGTTTAGTGGACAGTCTGAACTGACTACGCATTCGGGTCTACACATTGGTGGTGCACCGATGTATCCGCTTATGCAAGAACAAACAGCTTGCATGTTGTTTGTTCTACACTGACTATTTGGTCCACAGGGCGAGGGGTTGCAAGGATCATTTACGGCCGTCGCTAAAAGTTATTCAAAAATATTCAGGTTACCTTATACTTGATATTTAAATATACTATTTAAATAGTATATTTCAAAAGTATATTTAAATAGTATGTTTAAATAGTATATTTTAATAGTATATTTAAGCTATTTAGGCTATTTAAATGTACGCAAACAATGAAGAAGCGTACCTTGCATAGGAGAACACAGAACGAAAGCATTTCCCGACATTCCCGAGGGGCAGCTGCACATAGGCACGTGGTTGAACACGTTGCACACAGCGTTCTGTCCGCAAACACCGGGACAAGGATCGACACACTTGTTCCTAACGCAAGCTCGCGTAGTCGGACATTCGTTGCTTAGCACACACTCCGGTCTACAACCCGTGTAGGGATCGCCAGAGTACTCTGGCAAACAGCTGCAAACACCGTTGTCGCAACGAGCGTTCGACCCGCAAGGTGCAGACGCACATGGGTCAGTTTCGATGGGGCGAGCTGCAAAGTTTCCACGTTATTTAATGAAATTAAACGTTTTCACGTTATTTTATCCACAAAATTTAATGTTCTGAGGAGACGGAGATCTTACTTGGTTCGACGAAGCAGTTGGTGAAGGGGTCTCCCGTGTAACCCGGAGGACAAGTGCAAGTTGGGACATGATTGATAACGCTGCACTGAGCTTGCAGTGCACACGAGCCGGGACAAGGGTCTTTACATCTTTGTCGTATGCAAGCCTGATTGGGTGGACAGTCTGGGTTAATGGTACATTCCGGACGACAGTTTGGAGGACTTCCGGTGTACGTGGCTAGACACGAACAGGACGGTACTCCACCAATGTTCCGACATTCTGAGTAAGCACCGCACGGCGAGGGAATGCATGGGTCTTTAGGAACGACGTCGTTTTGAACGGGTGGTGTTACTAGAATTGTTGAAAAGAATTAAGATAATTTTACTGTGACTATTTAATTAATTTAAATGACTATTTAATTTTACGCGGACTAGCCATCACTTACACGGAATGGGGAAGCAAACGGTGAAAGGATCACCGGTGTATCCCCTCGAGCAACTACAAAGGGGCGCGTGATTGATCACCCTACAATCCGCGTTCTGTCCACAAGAGGATGGACACGGATTCACGCATTTCTGTCTCACGCAAGCCCTATCAGAAGCACATTCCGAACTGGTGACGCACTCCGGTCTACAAGATGGAGGTGTACCAATATAAGTTGGCAGACAGGAGCAAACAGCCACCTGATTGACTACTCTGCACTGACTGTTTGGTCCACACTGAGCATTTCCGCACTGGTCTTTTACACTGACTTCAGGAACTGAGAAACATTTTCATACATATACATTAAAAATGTATACTTCCGATTTCGCTGTGGATGTGACTCAACTTACCAACTGGTTGAATGGAACAGTATCGATAAGGATCACCGGTGTAACTGGGGTAACACGAGCAAGTAGCCCGATGGTTGACAACGCGACATTCGGCATTGGTTCCACACGTGCCTGGACAAGGATCCACGCATTTGGAGTTGATGCAAGCTCGAGTGGGAGAGCAATCAGAGTCTAGGACACATTCTGGCCTGCATCCTTCGTAAGGATTTCCTAAGTAACCAGGAAGGCAGGCGCAGGAGCCTACTTCGTTTCTCTCGGTGCATTGCGCGTTGGAACCGCAGGGAGAAGGTAAACATGGGTTCACTTTTGTCGTGGTGTCTTCAACTAGAAAACGGTGATGTAATTAAGGTGAACGGTTATCAAGTAGTCATTGATGACGTTGCAAGAAGCTTACTAGGCCTGACGAAGCATTGAGTGAAGGGATCACCGGTGTACCCAGTCTCGCAGTAGCACATCGGAGTGTGACTGACCGTTCGACACTGAGCATTCGTCCCGCAAGATCCCGGACAAGGATCTCTACATTTCTGGTTTATGCAAGCCTGCTGACTGGGACACTCGCTGTTGCTGATACATTCGGGCCTGCAATTCGGCGGGGAGCCAATGAAATCGGGAAGACAGGTGCAGGAAGGTGAATCTCCCGAGATTTGACACTGAGCATTAGGTCCACAAGGCGAGGGCTGACAGACGTTTATCGGTTCCGGTGGCGTTGGTGCTATAAATTTTTTTTGTTTAAAAATTCGAAGTACTTGTACAAGTACAACAATGTTATAGTACTTGTGCGATGGATGAACTTACGAAGTGGAATGCATCTGACAAACGGATCTCCCGTGAGTCCTTCCGGACAGTGACATATAGGGTTGCGATTTGCCACCGTGCAACGAGCACCTAGACCACATGTACCTATACAAGGATCTCTACACTTTTGGTTGGTGCAAATCTGGTTGGGGGGACACTCGGAGCTAACTATACACTCTGGACGACAGTTCGGTGGATTTCCTAGGTAACCGGGCACACAACTACAAATTGCTTGGCCGTTGTTTGCTCGACACTGGCTGTTGGGTCCACAAGGTGATGGGGTGCATGGGGTTGATGGAAGCTGAGCTATAGAAACATCGTCATATTTATATATCTTTAAAGTCAGAAAATCACTGTATTTTATTTATGCGGCTGAGTGCAATCTTCTCTAGAGGAAGACTCGTCTTAATATTCCAAAGTTCCTAGGTATATAGATATAAGTTCTAGGTATATTATATATTAGATATTTAATTAAGGAGACTCGAATTAAGTATATCAATCTGTTAACGGATGAAATAACTCTCTGTGAAATACTAGATCGAATAATCTCATAATCCATGTACATAAAAACTTAGTACGTGGTAACTTATTTAGACAAGTGTGCTAGAGAATACCGTACTACAGCATACCACAAAGAACAAGTATACCTATAGCAGGTCGACAGTACGCAAAAGCGTTTCCTTCGAAACCATCAGGACAGCTGCACATAGGCACATGATTGACCACGTTGCATACAGCATTGCTTGCACAAGTGCCAATACAAGGATCCTCGCACTTGTTCCTCACACAAGCTCTATCTCGAGAGCAATCATTGTTCAGTACACACTCCGGTCGACAACCAAGAGTGCTATCTCCATAATAATCAGGCAGACACGAGCAAATTCCGTTGTCGCATTGAGCATTCGGGCCACAAGGGGATGGATTGCATAAGTCTACTTCGTTTGTTTCGGCTGATAAAAAAGTTGCACGTTATAAAATTTTAAAACGATATCCATGAAACCTAAATGAACACGGTTACTCACGAGGTTTCATCTGTTGGCTGCAACTACTGAAGGGATCTCCAGTGTACCCTTCGATACAGGAGCACATGGGTACATGATTGAACACGGTACACTGGGCGTTGAAGCCACACGATCCTGGACAAGGGTCTCTACACCTCTCCTGAATACAAGCTTGATTACTAGGACACTCGGAATTGATGGTACACTCTGGTCTGCAATTTGGTGGACTGCCACGATAATATGGCAAACAAGTACAAGCTGGTGTCTGTCCTACGTTTTGACAAATCGCGTTGGGACCGCAAGGTGACGGTGAACATGGGTCCCTTTGCACTGACGGTGTCTCTACAGGAGCTAAGAACATTGCTCGTAAATGTCTAAATCAAATTTTTAAGGTTTCTATATTAACTATACAACATTTGTTGTATAGTTTTAATTCGTACCAGGAGCAGGGAAACAGGCGGTGAACGGGTCACCGGTGAATCCATTGTTGCAGAAGCAAATAGGACTGTGATTAATGATCCTGCAGTTGGCGTTAACTCCACACGAGTTGGGACACGGGTCGACACATTTCTGGTTCACGCACGCTCGGGTCAAAGGGCACTCGGTGCTGACTACGCACTCGGGTCTGCAATTCGGAGGACTGCCGATGTAGGAAGAGAGACAAGAGCAGACTGCTTGGTTGTTGTTCACGCGACATTCGCTGTTGGGCCCGCAGGGTGAAGGGTTGCAGAGGTTCACTATCACGTCTGCTTCTAGATTGAGGGATTATGTGATTGTTCAGAGGACTATCGAAGTTACAGATACATATACAATGATACAGATAATGGAACAGACAATGATACAATTATGAAGTATACAGACAATGATACAATTACGAAGTATGAGTTTACACTTCATCTTTAATAATAAAAATCAGCCTTACGATTCATCGGACTTAGACTGCAATATCTGAAGGGGTCGCCCCTGTATCCTTGAAGACACGAGCACATCGGTGAATGGTTGACAGGGTTGCACACCGCGTTCTGTGCACAAGCACCAGGACACGGATCCTGGCACTTCGATCTGACGCACGCTAAGTTCGCTGGACAGTCGGAATTCACCATGCATTCTGGTCTGCAACCCTCGTAGGGGTTTCCGATGTAATCGGGTAAACAGGAACACGCTCCCGCGTTTCCTGACACTTTGCACACAGCGTTAGCGCCGCAGGGTGTTGGCGTGCAAGGTGTGGGTCTTTCGTCGGCAACTACAGAATGATCGCAAATAGAGAAAGTTCGATGTCCACTGTAAATTGAATCAAAGAAACTTACTTTGGAGAGGAGTACACTGGGTGAAAGGATCTCCCGTAAAGCCTGAAGTACAGGAACACGTCGGAGTGTGGCTGAACACGCTACATTCGGCGTTAGCTCCGCACAGGCCGGGACAAGGGTCCCTACACTTTTGATTGATGCAAGCTTGGCGAATCGGGCATTCGCTGTTACTGACACATTCGGGTCTACAGTTCGGTGGCGATCCCGTGAATTCGGGTAAACACGAGCACGAGGGTGCTTGATTCACGACTTGACACTGAGCGTTTGGACCGCACGGTGATGGGTAACAGGGATTGATCGGTTCTGGAGACATTTCGACTGCGGAGCAAATAAAAGTGATCAGAAGTTTTTTAATAGGAGAATATTCTTAATGTATCGTAATATTTTTGAAGTGAAATTAGCTGCAAATGTTCCTCACCTATAATCGTGCAAGAAGCGAAAGGATCACCGGTCAGACCTTGAGGACACCTACAGATGGGGTTGTGATTGACCACCGAGCATTCTGCTCTTAAACCGCAGGATCCCGGGCAAGGATCTCTGCACTTCTGATTAATACAAGCCTTCGACAAATCGCAGTCGGAACTGACGACACATTCGGGTCGACAGGTAGGTGGATTTCCTGTGAAACCTTCTATGCATTTGCAGACTGGGAGGCCATTCACTTCTTGACAGTGACTGTTCGGTCCACATGGTGATGGAGAACATGGGTTCGTTACTACGGCTTCTGATGTAGCAATAAAAAGATTAAGTTGATTATCTCATTGAATTGAAACATGTAAGGTGAACTTTGAAATGAACAGTTCAAGAAATGAAACTAAAGTTTAGGAAATAAATAGGTGCCTGTACAAGGTGGTCCATCTAAGAATAGCCACCTAAATGCATCTCTGATGCATCTATAAATCCATCTTAATAAAATTAAATAACGTTTGTCTTATAAAACCTTATATGCAAATGTACATGAATGACCTTGACGCAGAAGCTTTGTAATCTTTTTGTCCAGCTTGGTATCATCCAAATTGCATATTAAATTTTTATCATCGTTAAACAGATATTTAGGTGATTACATATAAATGAACCACCCTGTATAAATAAGTATATATTTATACAGTATGAGACAACATCGTACCCTGCACTGGAGAACAAGAAACAAAAGCGTTCCCTGACATCCCAGTCGGACAACTGCACATGGGAACATGATTGATCGTTTGACACTGTGCGTTCTGTCCACACGTTCCTATGCAAGGATCTACGCATTTGTTTCTTATGCATGCTCTGTCACGAGGACAATCGTTGTTCATGACGCACTCAGGACGACAACCACTGTAAGGATCTCCTTGGAATTCTGGGAGACACGTGCAAACCCCATCGCGACATAGGGTGTTCGCGCCGCATGGCGAAGGGTTGCAAAGGTCCGTCACTGGTTCTTCGGCTAAAAATCATTTGCAATCAAAAATACTATTCGATATCTTACAACCTAACGAACTCAATAGTTCCTAATCTAACTAGGTGAACCTAATAGTTCCTAACCTTACTAGGTGAATCTAATAAATTATTTAATGACAAATATCCTAATAAAGCTAAAAAGGGGCTCACATATGACTGGTCTCGGGACACAGCTGTTGAAGGGATCTCCAGTGTATCCTTCAGGACAAGAACAAGTCGGCACATGATTAAGAACAGAGCACCTAGCTCCGAATCCACAAGAACCCGGACAAGGATCCGAGCACTTTTCCCGAATGCACGCAAGTGCACTAGGGCACTCGGCGTTTATGGTGCACTCCGGTCTGCAATTAGGTGGAGTACCGATGTACGAAGGTGAACAAGAGCATGAAGGATTTCCACCAATATCTCTGCACTGAGAATACGGGCCACAGGGCGATGGCGAGCAAGGATCTTGTTGAGCAGGTCTCACTGCCTCTGGTGGAGGACCTATAGAGTTCGAGAATGAGTCTCCGACAACTTCGATGAAATGCTCAGTTTGCAATGAGATCAATACACACGTGGAACAGGGAAGCAGATTGTGAACGCGTCTCCCGTGAATCCTTGCTGGCAGGAACATATCGGGCTATGATTGATGACGTTGCAGACTGTGTTTCTTCCGCAAGGATCAGGACAAGGATTGGTGCATTTTTGGTTGATACATGCGCGATTGGAAGGACATTCTGAGCTCGTCACACACTCTGGTCTACAACTTGGTGGAGAACCCAGGTACTCCGGTAAACAGGAGCACACTGCTTGACCGTTGTTCTCTCGACAGACGCTGTTGGGTCCACAAGGTGATGGCTGGCAGGGGTTTCTCATGCTCGGTAAATTAACTGTCGAGTAAAGCGGTTTTAACAACTGGGTAAATTTTCAGTGAAAGAACGAGAGTGGAAGAATGTCGTGCACCAACCTATCTCTTCCTCTCTACAGAATCTGAACGGATCTCCAGTGAACCTAGGCAAGCAATTACAAGTCGCCACGTGGTTCACCACCTGGCAGACTGCGTTCTGGCCGCAGGTACCAGGGCAGGGGTCCACGCATTTGGATCGAACGCAAGTTCTACTGGGAATGCAGTCTGAATTGATAACGCACTCTGGTCGGCAGCCCTCGTAAGGATTGCCCAGATACCCTGGCAAGCAGGAGCATGCTCCCACGCCGTTTCGATTCGTGCACTGAGCGTTTGCTCCGCACGGAGATGGCACGCAGGGTTCTGGTACGTACATTGGTATGACTGCAATGGAAATTTAATTTAACTTTTGTCGACTAGAATTTAACATAGAACGTAACATAGAATTAAACATAAAACGTTGGACGATACACTGGATAAACACATCTCCAGCGTTAACTTATGAAACTTTCATCGACTAGAATTTAAACCTAAGATTCTTACGTTGTTGGACGATACACTGGGTGAACGGATCTCCAGTGTATCCAGGAGAGCAAGTGCACATGGGCGTATGGGACACCGTGTTGCACACAGCGTTCATGCCGCAGGATCCAGGACAAGGGTCTCTGCACTTCTGATTGATACACGCCAAGTTACTCGCACATTCGCTGTTGCTTACGCATTCTGGTCGACAATTAGGAGGAGAACCAGTGAATTCTGGTAGACAGGAACACGACGGGGAATCGTTGACCACCTGGCACTGGGCGTTTGGACCACAAGGTGACGGTTCGCAGGGGTTTTGCTGAGGTGGTGCTTCTAACGCTGAAATACGACGCAGTTCAGACATCGTCCACGCGATCCATTTTGGAGGAATTTGTCGTTCTTACGTCTTTCGGTACATCTCACGAACGGGTCGCCAGTCATGCTAGGTGGACAGTTACAAATCGGGTTGTGGTTAACCACTTGGCAGGTAGCTCTGATTCCACACGAGCCGACGCAAGGGTTACTGCATTTCTGGTTAATGCAAGCTTCGGTTGGTCCACAGTCCGTGCTCACCACGCATTCCGGTCTGCAGGTTGGTGGAATACCGACAAAACCGGGGATACATGTGCATACAGCTTGTCCGTTCGCTTCTCTGCACTGACTGTTCGGCCCGCAGGGTGTTGGGTTGCAGGGATTTGTCACGACAGGGTCTGATCAGGACAATTAAATAGTTTAATCATATGTGCATTCTTTGGGAAGAGAATTAAATCTCTTATTAAAGACCGTACCTCTGAATGGAGCGCAAGATATGAACGCATTGCCCGACATTCCGTTAGGACAACTGCACATGGGGACGTGGTTGTACACGTTGCAAATTGCACTTTGACCACAAGTGCCAATGCAAGGATCAACGCACTTGTTGCGCAGGCAAGCTCTGTCCAAAGGACAGTCGGTGTTCAGGACACACTCTGGTCGACAACCCACGTAAGGATCGCCTTGGTATTCGGATAAACACGTGCACACACCGTTGTTGCACTGTGCGTTTGGACCGCAAGGCGATGGGTTACATGGGTCTTCGGGTACTACCGCGACTGCTACAATGGTAAAGTCTATTGTTAATTATTAGACTCATGGTGTTTTTATATATTACAGACTGCAAAGTATATAAATCATTCAATGTGAATTATCCACATATGAATCACTTATTCGCGTATGAATCACATATGGATCACATAGATTTATTTACATTTTGTCCTCGATATAAATTCATAAAACTTGATTTAATTATTAGGATTATCAAAGAAGAATTTTAAGGCAAACGTCTTACGTGGAGCAGGAGAGCAACTGCTGAAAGGATCGCCAGTGAATCCCTCGGGACAAGTACAAATCGGTAGATGATTGAAAACCGTGCACCGAGTTGCCAGACCGCATGACCCGGGACATGGATCGGTACATCTTTGTCTGATACACGATCTATCGCTGGGACAGTCTGAATTCACTGTACACTCTGGTCTACAATTCGGTGGGCTGCCGAAGTAATTAGCTAAACAGGAACAAGATGGCGCACCGCCGATATCCCGACATTCCGAGTACGGACCGCAAGGGGATGGTACGCAAGGGTTTTGAGGTAGATCAGGTAACGTTGGTTGAGCTAAGGAAACATTAATCGTCGGTTGAACGTTTTGTACCCGATTTTAATTTTAATGTAGTTGAGAAACTTACGTGGAAGAGGGAAACACCTGGTAAAGGGGTTGCCAGTATTTCCGTCTTTGCAGGTACATATAGGACTGTGATTGACGACTAGACAATTGGTATTCTGCCCACACGGGCGCGGACACGGATTCACACACTTCTGATTCACACAGGCGCGATTCGAGGGACAGTCGGAACTCACGACGCACTCGGGACGACACGAGGGAGGACTTCCGGTGTATTCGGGGAGGCAAGAGCATACAGCGTTTCCGGAAACCACGCGGCATTGACTGTTTGGACCGCAGGGCGATGGAATGCAAGGGTCTGTCTGATCTTCCGTTTTGTCTGGGGAGTGGTAGAAAATCTTTAAAATTCTGTTCTTAACGAAATCATCCCTTAACCTCCGAACGGTGGAAAGAAATCATTTTCATCTCTCAAACTAGCTCTTCAACAAATTTTGTTTTCTTTTTGACCTAATTTTGAACCACCGTTCGATGGTTTTTTAATATCAAATATACTTTACCAGGTTCTCTCATCAGTTGACAATATCTGAACGGGTCACCCGTGAAACCAGGAACACAAGTGCACACAGGTGAGTGATTAATAACCTGACAGACAGCATCCTGCCCGCAGGTTCCCGGACAGGGGTTCTGACACTTATTTCTCATACAAGCGAGGTTCGACGGACAATCTGAGCTAACTGTACACTCTGGACGGCATCCTTCGTAAGGATTGCCGATGTACTCCGGTAGACAACTACAGGATCCAACTCCATTTTGCTCTTTGCAAACTGCGTTTGAACCGCAGGGTGACGGTGTGCAGGGAGATGCCGGAGTCGCTAGATAATACAAGAAAATTTACAAGTTGGTTAACTTGATGAGCTAAATTCGATAAATTTAACAGATTGAGCACCACAGTGAAAAGCTGCAATTGTAACTCAAGATCCCTCATTTCTTCAATCAAGATCCCTTATTCTTTTAATCCCTATTTTCTTTTCGATCGCTAACGATCACTGTGGAGTTCAAACTGTTAAGAAACCTAAGTGTCTTACATTCTTGGAATGGAACGCATTGCGTGAACGGATCACCCGAGAACCCGCTGGGGCAAGCGCACATAGGTGTATGACTGACCACCCGACACTCTGCGTTAGGTCCACAGGATCCAGGACAAGGGTCTCTACACTTCTGATTAATGCAAGCATGGTGTGCCAAGCACTCGCTATTGCTGACACACTCTGGCCGGCAGTTAGGTGGAGAATTGATAAACCCAGGCATGCAGGTACACGACGGGGAATCGTTCACCGCCTGACACAGGGCGTTGGGACCACAAGGTGATGGCTTGCACACGTTTATGATTTCCGGCTTCGTTTCCACTAAAAGTCGCAGAACATGTAACTATTGAACTGTCAGACACTGGATAGAACTGACAGTTGGATAGAAGTGTCCTTACTGATAGGGTCACATCTGACGAACGGATCCCCGGACAACCCCGCAGGACAACTGCATAAGGGATTGTGATTGATGACCTGACACTGTGCACGAATGCCACAGCTTCCTACACACGGATTCACGCACTTCAAGTTGCTACAGGCTTCGTTCCTGGGACAGTCTGAACTGACGGTACACTCTGGTCGACAAGATGGAGGACTGCCAACGTAACCGGGCACGCAGGAACAGACTGCCTGTCCATTGACACTGCGGCACTGACTGTTTTGACCGCAGGGAGAAGGATTGCATGGTGTTTCAGGACTTGTTTCTATGAAAACATCGAGTAATGTGTTATCAATGTATACCTTCAGACTTTCAAATCTGCATTCTCTAACCTCTTGCACTATGACTTATTTGTCAGGTGCGTCAGTCAGAACTAATTGCAGCTACAATATTAAACAGACAAACAAAATTTTAATGTTATGCGAATTATAATTGGACTTGAACTCCAGATTGAAGTGCATTAAAAATTTGAGTAAAATTGATCACGGCCGAGGTACGAGTGCGTCAGACTCGTCAAAATAGTGCAAGAGGCTAAGAAATATCTGTTGAACGGTCATCAGGTACCTTGAACAGGGGAACAGACAACGAAAGCGTTGCCACTGGTACCCGGCGCGCAACTGCACATCGGAATGTGGTTGAAAACATTGCAAACAGCATTCTGTCCACAAGTGTTGACACAAGGGTCTGCACACTTGTTGCGTACGCAAGCCTGATTCGTGGGACAATCGGTGTTGAGGACGCACTCTGGTCTGCAGCCCGCGTAAGGGTCGCCTCTGTACTCGGCTAAGCAAGTGCAGATTCCGTTGTTGCACTCTGCGTTCGCTCCGCAGGGTGATGGATTGCAAGGATCATCGGGAAGTACCGGTTCTAAAAATGGGATATATGAATATTGATGTACTGAATGATATCAGTAACAATCTAGAGATCTTACGTGGTGGAGGTTTCGGGTTGCAGTTGGTGAAGGGGTCTCCGGTATAACCTTCCATGCAGCTGCAAACCGGCACGTGGTTTATGACGCTGCACTGAGCAAAGGTACCGCAGGAGCCGGGACACGGGTCCCTACACTTTTCTCGCATGCAAGCCTGGTTGGGAGAGCAGTCGGAGTTCACGGTACATTCTGGTCGACAGTTTGGTGGGCTGCCGATGTAGTTTGGCAAACAGGAACAGGAAGATAGACCGTTGATTTCGCGGCACTCTGCGTTTGCACCGCAGGGGGAGGGAACGCAGGGGTTAAAAGGCACCACTGCAGAGGGAATTTCTACAAATTTAGAGAATAAATGAATCAAAAGGGAATAATCAAAATGAATGAGTCATCAAAATTATCCAAGGAAAATCAATAAAAAATTGAAAATATAGATGAGGATCGGTCCTCTCACCTGGCACTGGGAAGCAACGCGTGAATGGGTCACCCGTGTACCTCTGTCTGCAGGCACAGATAGGACTATGATGGATAACGTTACACTCTGCGTTCAGACCACACGGTCCAGGACAAGGATTCTGGCATTTCTGATTGATACAGGCAAGGTTTGTCGGACACTCCGAGCTGACCACGCATTCTGGTCGACATCCAGGCGGAGTACCAATGAACTGTGGTAAGCAGGAGCAGACTGCTTGATCATTGACGACTTGACACCGACTATTTGGTCCACAGGGTGACGGGGAGCATGGGTCTCTCCTGTCCTCAACTGTGGTAGAAAGTGAAGTTAGGAAAGTACCGATCTAACGAAAGAAGTACCGATCTTCCGACAAAAGAAGATTTAATTTACCAGGTTGCGTGATTGGTTGACAGAATTGATAAGGCTGTCCAGTATATCCAGGGAAGCAAGTACAGGTTGGTAAGTGGTTGACAACCTGGCACTCGGCGTTCGTTCCGCAAGCTCCAGGACAAGGGTCCTGGCACTTGGAGCGAATGCAAGCACGCGTGGACATGCAATCAGAGTTCATGACACACTCTGGACGACAACCCTCGTAAGGATTGCCAACGTAATCGGATAAACAGGTGCAAGCACCCACTCCGGCTTGCTCTTTGCAAACAGCGTTCGAACCACAGGGGGATGGCGTACAGGGAGTCGAAAGAACTGGCTGCATCTCGTCTAAAACGCAAGGTTCACTGATTATTATGTTCTTAAGGAACGTCGTCATCATCGGATCTTACTTTGTCTCTGGAAGCACTGAGTGAAGGGATCGCCGTCGTAGCCGACGAGACACACGCACATTGCGGTGTGGCTCACTACGCGGCAGTCGGTGTTAGCTCCACAGGAGCCGGGACAAGGGTCTCTGCACTTGTTGTTGATGCATGCCAAGTGTGTGGGACATTCGCTGTTGCTGATGCACTCTGGTCTACAGTTTGGAGGTGTTCCGATGAACTCGGGCGAACAAGAACAGGAAGGCGAGTCGTTTATCACCTGGCAGACCGCGTTGGGTCCACAGGGCGATGGTTGGCAAGGATTTATAGGAACTAACGGTTCTTCCGCTGCAATATCAACATTTTGTTACGTGGACTATTTGATGAGGTTCAGATGATTCTATTGATATACTGAGCTCACGTTTTAGCTCGCATCTAACGAAAGGATCGCCGGTGAAGCCTGCAGGGCAGCTGCACACAGGGTTGTGATTTATCACTTGACACTGGGCTCTCACACCGCAGGACCCAGCGCAAGGATTCATGCATCTCTGATTGCTGCAAGCTTGGTTCTTTGGACAGTCAGAACTGACGGTACACTCGGGTCTGCAGGAGGGAGGCGTTCCAATGAAATTGGCCACGCAAGAGCAAACTGCTTGCTCGTTAACTACGCGACAGACACTGTTGGGTCCGCAAGGAGATGGATTGCATGGGTCTTCGGGTCCTAAAATGGAATTCAAAAAAGAGGTAAGTGGTTGACAACCTGGCACTCGGCGTTCGTTCCGCAAGCTCCAGGACAAGGGTCCTGGCACTTGGAGCGAATGCAAGCACGCGTGGACATGCAATCAGAGTTCATGACACACTCTGGACGACAACCCTCGTAAGGATTGCCAACGTAATCGGATAAACAGGTGCAAGCACCCACTCCGGCTTGCTCTTTGCAAACAGCGTTCGAACCACAGGGGGATGGCGTACAGGGAGTCGAAAGAACTGGCTGCATCTCGTCTAAAACGCAAGGTTCACTGATTATTATGTTCTTAAGGAACGTCGTCATCATCGGATCTTACTTTGTCTCTGGAAGCACTGAGTGAAGGGATCGCCGTCGTAGCCGACGAGACACACGCACATTGCGGTGTGGCTCACTACGCGGCAGTCGGTGTTAGCTCCACAGGAGCCGGGACAAGGGTCTCTGCACTTGTTGTTGATGCATGCCAAGTGTGTGGGACATTCGCTGTTGCTGATGCACTCTGGTCTACAGTTTGGAGGTGTTCCGATGAACTCGGGCGAACAAGAACAGGAAGGCGAGTCGTTTATCACCTGGCAGACCGCGTTGGGTCCACAGGGCGATGGTTGGCAAGGATTTATAGGAACTAACGGTTCTTCCGCTGCAATATCAACATTTTGTTACGTGGACTATTTGATGAGGTTCAGATGATTCTATTGATATACTGAGCTCACGTTTTAGCTCGCATCTAACGAAAGGATCGCCGGTGAAGCCTGCAGGGCAGCTGCACACAGGGTTGTGATTTATCACTTGACACTGGGCTCTCACACCGCAGGACCCAGCGCAAGGATTCATGCATCTCTGATTGCTGCAAGCTTGGTTCTTTGGACAGTCAGAACTGACGGTACACTCGGGTCTGCAGGAGGGAGGCGTTCCAATGAAATTGGCCACGCAAGAGCAAACTGCTTGCTCGTTAACTACGCGACAGACACTGTTGGGTCCGCAAGGAGATGGATTGCATGGGTCTTCGGGTCCTAAAATGGAATTCAAAAAAGAATTGATTGATTGATTGATTTTATAAGAGCCTCGACTGCTATGATCATTGGCCCAAGAATTTAAGGTGGGTATCTTGTTGTGGGATGCTGACTCGAACGGATACGTACCTCTGCTCGGGCGACAGGAAACGAAAGCATTTCCTGTCATGCCAGGCAGACAACTACACATGGGGACGTGATTGTAGACGTTGCACTGTGCGTTCTGACCGCAGGTTCCAGGACACGGGTCCACGCACTTGTTGCGGATACAAGCTTGACTCGGGGAGCAGTCGTTGTTCAGAACACACTCGGGTCGACAACCGGTGTAAGGGTCGCCTTGATATTCCGGCAAACAGGAACAGGTGCCATCCCTGCACATTGCGTTAGGACCACAGGGCGAGGGATTGCATGGGTCCGCGGGTACTACAGGTTCTTCTATTGCTAAATAATTGAAAACAATTATTGTACGACAATTATCGTTTCAATTCGATCGAAATGAACACGTAAATCCTTACGTCTGGGATAACAGTTCGCGAACGGATCTCCAGTGAAACCATCAGGACAAGTACAAGACGGTGTGTGGTTGATAACGTTACAGGTAGCCGATAGTCCACAAGATCCCGGACAAGGATCCCTACATCTTTCGTTTATGCAAGCTTGACTACTGGGACAATCGGAATTTATAGTACATTCGGGTCTGCAATTAGGTGGACTGCCGATATAGATCGACAGACAAGAACAGGAAGGTGCACCGCCTATATCGCGACATTCCGCGTAGGGTCCACACGGTGAAGGCACACATGGGTTCTGTGAGACCGGACCAGGTGCAGGTTCTGAAAGATTCGGTTTGTGAAGAAGCTGAAATCTTTCTCAAAGTGGGATTCTTGAGGTTATCTTACTTGGCACAGGGAAGCATCTACTGAAAGGATCTCCTGTGTACGCCTGTTTGCAACTACAAATCGGGCTGTGATTCAGGACCATGCAGTTGGTGTTCGATCCACACGGCTGTGGACAGGGGTTCACACACTTATTGTTAACGCAGGCTCTGTTGGTTGGACACTCCGAGCTCACTACGCATTCGGGTCGACATCCCGGGGGACTTCCGATGTACTCTGGTAAACAGGTGCAAACTGGCTGATTGTTGACCACTCTGCATTGACTGTTCGGTCCACACGGAGATGGATTGCAGGGTTCTCTTGGAATCGGTTCTGATTTTGAAATAAGAGGTCATCATCTGCATCATCTGAATTTTTACTGACTGAATTTTTGGAAGAGTGTAATTACCGGATTCCATGATGGGGTTACAGTATCTAAACGGATCGCCGGTGAAACCAGGCATACATGTGCAAGCTGGGGAGTGATTGATCACTTGACAGACTGCGTTTTGACCGCAAGTTCCTGGACAAGGATCCTGGCACTTGGACCGAACGCAGGCCATGTTGGACACGCAGTCAGAGTTCACTGTACATTCCGGACGACATCCCTCGTAGGGATTTCCGATGTAATCTGGCAAACAGGTGCAAGAACCTGCTCCGTTTTGCTCTTTACACGCAGCGTTTGCTCCACAGGGTGACGGGGTGCAGGGCGATGCGTTCTCGACAATTGTTGCTACAATGACACGTTAAATGCAAGACTGTCTCTAATATGTCCCCACATCGTTAATCCTAGTTCTCTAAACTCTAATATCTCTAGATATATCTCTTACGTAGTTGCATAACGCATTGGATGAATGGGTCTCCAGTGTATCCGCTCAGACACACGCACATGGGCGTGTGGCTCACAACGCGGCACGCCGTGTTCGATCCACAAGCACCGGGACACGGATCTCTACACTTTTGATTCATGCAGGCTAAATGAGCGGGACATTCGCTGTTGCTGATGCACTCCGGTCTGCAATTAGGCGGAGTTCCAGTGAATTCGGACAGACACGAGCACGAGGGTGCGTCGTTCACCACGCGGCACTGGGAGTTTGGTCCACAGGGAGACGGCTGACAAGGGTTCACTGGCACGACTGGTGTTTCCGCTATTAGATCAAGTTTAGAATTGAAAAATCACCCTTGTACGAATCCTATTAATTACATCTCGATTCTTACTTATCGGGTCGCATCTGGTGAAGGGGTCTCCAGAGTGCCTTGGGAGGCAAGTACAAATGGGATTATGGTTGGCAACCTGGCATTGAGTCCTCAGACCACAGGTACCTAAGCAGGGATCTATGCATCTCTGATTGCTGCAGGCCTGATTGCGCGGACAATCGGAACTGACTACGCATTCGGGTCGGCAAGATGGCGGAGTGCCGAGGTAGCCTTGAACGCAAGAACACACCGCTTGGTCGTTCACCACGCGACACTGACTGTTTGGACCGCAGGGAGAGGGTCTACAAGGGTCCATCGGTCGTGCTGGTTCTATGAAAGAATTACGTTGTGTAAAACAGAAATATCCTACAAAATTAAGAATATAAAGTACTTGGATATGAAGTATGACACCTTGTAAGACGGAACAGATAACGAAAGCATTTCCAGACATTCCAGGCGGACAGCTACACATGGGCACGTGATTATAAACATTGCAGACGGCGTTCTGTCCGCAAGTTCCAATGCAAGGATCCGCGCATTTGTTACGAATACAAGCTCTGTTTGCGGGACAGTCGGTGTTGAGGACACATTCGGGTCGACATAGTTCGTACGGGTTTCCTTGGTACTCGGGAAGGCAAGAACAAACACCATCATTGCACTCCGCGTTCGGGCCACAGGGTGAAGGATTGCAAGGGTCTGACGGGGTCTCTACCGCTGTAAAATGATTAGAGTTTGTACCCTAATAGCCTAAAAAGTAAAAATAAATGAAAAATCTTACGTTGAGGCGGTAGCGGCTGGCAATTAGTGAAAGGGTCTCCCGTGAAAACTTCGGGACAAGAACACGCGGGTGTGTGATGAATCACGTTGCACACGGCGCCGAAATCTGCAATTAGGCGGAGTTCCAGTGAATTCGGACAGACACGAGCACGAGGGTGCGTCGTTCACCACGCGGCACTGGGAGTTTGGTCCACAGGGAGACGGCTGACAAGGGTTCACTGGCACGACTGGTGTTTCCGCTATTAGATCAAGTTTAGAATTGAAAAATCACCCTTGTACGAATCCTATTAATTACATCTCGATTCTTACTTATCGGGTCGCATCTGGTGAAGGGGTCTCCAGAGTGCCTTGGGAGGCAAGTACAAATGGGATTATGGTTGGCAACCTGGCATTGAGTCCTCAGACCACAGGTACCTAAGCAGGGATCTATGCATCTCTGATTGCTGCAGGCCTGATTGCGCGGACAATCGGAACTGACTACGCATTCGGGTCGGCAAGATGGCGGAGTGCCGAGGTAGCCTTGAACGCAAGAACACACCGCTTGGTCGTTCACCACGCGACACTGACTGTTTGGACCGCAGGGAGAGGGTCTACAAGGGTCCATCGGTCGTGCTGGTTCTATGAAAGAATTACGTTGTGTAAAACAGAAATATCCTACAAAATTAAGAATATAAAGTACTTGGATATGAAGTATGACACCTTGTAAGACGGAACAGATAACGAAAGCATTTCCAGACATTCCAGGCGGACAGCTACACATGGGCACGTGATTATAAACATTGCAGACGGCGTTCTGTCCGCAAGTTCCAATGCAAGGATCCGCGCATTTGTTACGAATACAAGCTCTGTTTGCGGGACAGTCGGTGTTGAGGACACATTCGGGTCGACATAGTTCGTACGGGTTTCCTTGGTACTCGGGAAGGCAAGAACAAACACCATCATTGCACTCCGCGTTCGGGCCACAGGGTGAAGGATTGCAAGGGTCTGACGGGGTCTCTACCGCTGTAAAATGATTAGAGTTTGTACCCTAATAGCCTAAAAAGTAAAAATAAATGAAAAATCTTACGTTGAGGCGGTAGCGGCTGGCAATTAGTGAAAGGGTCTCCCGTGAAAACTTCGGGACAAGAACACGCGGGTGTGTGATGAATCACGTTGCACACGGCGCCGAAACCGCACGAGCCGGGACACGGGTCCCTGCACTTTTCGCTCATACAAGCTCGATTGCTAGGGCAATCGGGATTTATCGTACATTCCGGTCTACAGTTTGGCGGGCTGCCCATGTAATTCGGTAAACAGGAACAAGATGGAGAGCCTCCGATATCGCGACACTCCGAGTAGGGTCCGCAAGGTGATGGTACACAAGGGTTTTCAACGGGGCTGGGCAATGGTTCTGAAAATAATTTGCGATGACAATCTACCCGTTAGCCTTACTCAAAGTTAGAACTTATTGGCTATTAATTTGAGGAGCGGGAAGGGAGCGATACCTTAACAGGTTCAAGTTATTATCTGGGAAATTAATTGGGAAATGAAGCAACCGATCATCTCTCGAACAATTAAGCTATCTTCTCTTACTTGGTGTCGGGAAACATCTGGTGAATGGGTCACCGGTGAAGTCCAGCTTGCAAGCACAGATAGGACTGTGGTTCACGACCCTGCAGTCCGCGTTGGTGCCACAACGACCGGCACAGGGCTCGGTACACTTCTGATTAACGCAAGCTCTGTTCGAGGGACATTCTGAACTGACTACGCATTCCGGTCGACATCCTGGAGGACTGCCTACGTATTCGGGAAGGCAAGAACAGACAGCCTGGCCGTTGTTAACGCGGCACAGGCTGTTGGGTCCACACGGCGAGGGACTACATGGATTTCCTTCGACAACGGCTGCAAGTGATTCGAAATTGATCGACTGACGCTTGAATCGCGCTCTCAATGGTTACACTTTGGAATTAGTGTGTTAATGGCGGATAATTGGCCCGTAGGCTATGATTACGATGAAATTGCCGATGTGGTTATGAAGAAGCGTTATATCTTCTCTAAGGAGGCGTTCGTGACATTGCGATGACTATGATAAATGATCACTGGTATCAACTTACGAGCTGTCGGTTGAACGTAACAGTTCACGAAAGGATCACCCGTGAATCCAGCCAGACAAGTGCAGCTTGGCAGGTGATTTATCACCGCGCAATCAGCGTTCTGGGCACACGTGCCAGGACAAGGATCCTGGCACTTGGATCTTATGCAGGCCAAGTTCGAGGGGCAGTCGGAATTCACGGTGCATTCCGGTCGACATCCTTCGTACGGGTTTCCTATGTAATCCGGGGCGCAAGAACAGGATCCTGCACCATTCTGTTCTTTGCATATCGCGTTAGGGCCGCAGGGCGACGGTGTGCAGGGGGACTGCGGCGTGGGTTCGATCTCGGCTAAAAAAACGGGGTCACAGGGTCAGAGTTAATAACCATCAACACCAGTTGCATCCCAAAATGTTAATACACTGATGATTAAACTATCCAATCTAATTATATTAATCCATCGAAGGACACCAAGATTAGGGGACTTGTTGTTGATTAGGCTGTTCTTGTTGTGACGTGTCTTGGTTCTGTAATGCTCATGTTCTGTAAAATGCTTACGTCCTTTCAGGATGCATTGTGTGAACGGATCACCGGTGTAGCCGCCGAGACAGACACACATCGGTGTGTGACTGACGACACGGCACTCCGCGTTGGAACCACACGAGCCTGGGCATGGGTCTCGACACTTTCGATTGATGCAGGCCAAGTTACTCGAACACTCGCTGTTGCTCACGCATTCCGGTCTACAGTTTGGCGGGGAACCGATAAAGTCGGGCAAACAGGCGCAGGACGGTTTGTCGTTGATCGTTTGGAACACGGAATTGGGACCGCATTGGCAGGAGGCGCACGTGTCTTCTTGTGGCGCGCTCACAGCTACGGAGATAAAGGAGTATCAGCCCGTTTCAACATTCAGATTGTTTCGACATTTCTGAATTCTCCAAAGAAATTGATCTTACTGATGAATTCGCATCTAGTGAAGGGGTCGCCTGTAAAGCCGGACGGGCAGCTGCACACAGGATTATGATTGACGACTTGACAGAGCGCTTTCAAGCCACAAGTGCCGGAACAGGGGTCGATACATTTCTGGTTATTGCAAGCCTGATTCCTGGGACAATCCGAACTGACCACGCATTCTGGCCGACAGGTGGGAGGGTTACCGAGGAATCCTGGCACGCAGGAACATACAGCCTGGTCGTTTATGGCTCGACACCGACTGTTGGGTCCGCAAGGAGACGGGTTACAGGGGTTCGCCTGAACTGGTTCTGAGGGACAAATTCGTTAATGTAATTTCGGTTTAGGACTTGTTTAGAATTTAGGTTTAGAACCTAACCAGTCTTCGTACCTTCCATCTTGTCACAGGATATGAACGCGTTGCCAACCATACCAGTTGGACAACTGCACATGGGTACGTGGTTCAGGACATTGCAAACCGCGTCTCTGCCGCAGATGCCTGTGCAGGGATCCAGGCACTTGTTGCGAACGCAGGCTCTGTTCAGAGGACAGTCGTTGTTAAGGACACACTCCGGTCGACAACCGGTGTAAGGATCACCCTGATAGTCTGGTAAACAGGTGCACGCTCCCGCGTTGCACTGCGCGTTCGGTCCACACGGTGACGGGTTACAGGGGTCAGATTCGGGAGGTGGTACTGCAAGAATTGGTGTGAATTGGTAGAGGAATCGGATGAATCGAATTCGAGAATCTGACCGAACTCTTACGTTGTGGAGGTGTTGGGTAACAGTTGCTGAACGGATCTCCGGTGTAGCCTTGAATGCAAGTGCAAATGGGGATGTGATTGATCACGCTGCACTGAGTCGACACTCCGCAGGATCCTGGGCAGGGGTCTATACACCTCTGTCTGATGCAAGCTCGATTACTGGGACAGTCTGAGTTTATAACGCACTCTGGTCTACAATTGGGAGGACTTCCCATGTAGGTGGGCAAACACTGGCAAGATGGACCGCTGTTAACCACGCGGCACTCGGAATTTGGACCACAAGGGGAAGGCAAACACGGTTGCGACGCCTCGACCGCTGAAGGAAGCACAGCTGAAAAGGCAAGCCAGTTGAAGGAAGTGTCCGAATTTTATCCAACTTCCAGATACACTTACGTTGCATGGGGAAACATCTTGTGAAAGGATCTCCGGTGTACGACTCTCTACAGGCACAAATTGGACTGTGGTTCCTGATTACGCAGGTGGCGAACGTGCCACAGGAGGTGGGACATGGGTTCACGCATTTCTGATTCACGCATGCACGATCCTGAGGGCAGTCTGAATTCAGAACGCACTCGGGACGACACATGGGTGGGGATCCTGTGTACTCTGGCAGACAGGAGCAGACTCCTTGACCGTTCACCACTCGACACTGACTGTTGGGTCCGCAGGGTGAAGGTTGACAGGGGTCCTGGTACTTCGTTTCTTCTACGAAATTTTAACCTTCTTAGTATACTATCTTCAGGGTACTGTCTTGTAGTCTGCAAAGACTACAAGATTTTGACAAACTGATTGGAAGAAACGTGTACCTATTTCACGAATGAAGGTGCAGCAGTAGAAAGGATTTCCGGTATATCCAGGCATGCAAGTGCAAGCAGGTCGATGATTGATAACCCTGCACTCGGTGTTCGTTCCGCAGGTACCTGGACATGGGTCCTGGCATTTCGAACGTATGCAACTCGAAGTAGGTGGACAATCCGTGTCGACGACACACTCGGGGCGACAACCTTCGTAGGGGTTGCCGAGGTAGTCGGGTAAACAGGAGCAGGAACCGACACCATTCTGTTCCTTGCATATGGCGTTGAAGCCACACGGTGATGGTTTGCAGGGAGACAGATCAATGGGTACAGCTAGAAGGTATTAGCGAAATTAATCGATGAACGGATCGAGGAAGAGTCTAGATATCATTTGATCCTTACGTGGCTTAGGAGTGCACTGAGTGAAAGGATCACCCGTGAAGTCGCTAGGACAAACACACATGGGTGTGTGGCTGACTACGCGACATTCTGCGTTAGCTCCGCAGGATCCAGGACAAGGATCTCTACACTTTTGGTTGACGCAAGCCAAGTGACTAGCACACTCGCTGTTACTGACGCATTCTGGTCTACAATTGGGAGGAGAGCCTGTGAACTCTGGCAAACAGGAGCAAGAGGGAGCGTTGTTTATAACGCGGCACTGAGAATTAGGTCCACAGGGAGATGGCTCGCACGCGTTCTCTGGCACTACTGGTTCGGGTGCTAAAAGTACGCCGTTAATCAGTACCTAAGATCAATTGTATCGATGAAGTTTAACGTTGCAACGAAGCTTACGTCTTGGAATACACTGCACGAAAGGATCGCCAGTGTGTTCTGGCAAACAACTGCATACAGGGTTGTGATTGACTACGTTACACACGGCTCGGAATCCGCAAGAACCAGGACAAGGGTTTATGCACTTCTGATTGCTACAAGCTTCCGTGAGGGGACAGTCGGAGCTGACTGCGCACTCCGGTCTGCAGGTAGGTGGTGCACCCAGAAATCCTGCCACGCAGGAGCAGACGGGCTGCTCGTTGATCTCTCTGCAGACGCTGTTAGGTCCGCAAGGCGATGGCGAACATGGGTTCCTCTTTACCGAATCTATGATCGTTACATCGTTATAGAAATTTGGGACGTGATATGAATTTAAGATATTCAAATGTGATGATGTTCAAATGTCTTCTAAAGAGACAGTACCTTGAAGAACAGAGCACTGAACGAAAGCGTTTCCAACCATTCCATTAGGACAACTGCACATGGGTATATGATTGTGCACCAGGCACTGTGCGTTCTGACCACAAGTGCCTGGGCAAGGATCAACACACTTGTTTCTGACACACGCAAGATTTTGCGGACAATCCGTGTTCAAGACACACTCCGGTCGACAGCCTACGTAAGGGTCACCCTGGTACTCTGGCAGACAGGTGCAGACACCGTTGTCGCAACGAGTGTTAGGGCCACAGGGCGACAGGGCACAAGGGTCAGTGACGACCGGCATAGCTGTTAAAGGAACGTATGGTTATCCTGCATTTCCTGTAAATTTCTAAACGAAGTTAGTCTTCTTACTTGGCTGGATGGGTATCGGATAACAGTTACTGAAGGGGTCTCCGGTGTATCCTTCGGGACAAGTGCACATGGGCACGTGGTTGTAAACCGTGCACATGGAGGTGACACCGCAGGATCCTTGGCAAGGATCTCTGCACTTCTCGCTGGAACACGCGAGGTTCATGGGACAGTCGGAGTTGACGCGACATTCTGGTCGACAGTTGGGCGGGGATCCGACGTATCGTGGCAAGCAGGAGCAAGATGGAGTGCCAGCGAAGATCCTGCACTCCGCGTACATACCACAGGGCGACGGTACGCAAGGGTCTTTCGGGAGTAAAGACACGGCGTTCTGGGGCGGCTCTGGAATTTATTTGCTTTATATTATCTTTGAAGCTTAAGCTTGATGATTTTTATGAAGCCGTGAATTTCGTGAGCGATGGTGATTCACTCGATAGTTGTAAATGTTGGCAAGGTTCTAATGTTGGACCAGGTTGAAATGGATGAGATGATCAAGCTGATATAAGAAGTATCCTTACGTGGCGCGGGGAAACATTTCGTGAACGGGTCTCCGGTGTATCCAAGGTTGCAGATGCAAATGGGGCTGTGGTTGATCACCTTGCACTGCGTATTGATACCGCAGGAGTTCGTGCAGGGTGAGGTACACTTCTGATTGATACACGCGAGTTCCAAGGAACACTCGCTGTTCACCACGCACTCGGGTCGACAGTTAGGTGGACTTCCAATGAAATTCGTCAGGCAAGTACACACAGCGTGGTCGTTCACGTTTCGACATTTACTGTTCGGTCCACAAGGGGAGGGACTACACGGGTCTGAATCTTTCGGCGTGGCTGTATGGGGCAAAATTCGTATTAAGCGAATAGCTGGGTGCTTTTCTAGTTGTGCGCTGAAGCTTTCAGGGTACAAAATGGAGGCTTACGAGCAACAGAGGCCGGGGAACAATAGGTGAAGGGGTTGCCAGTGTATCCGGGGTTACAAGAACAGACTGGCACGTGATTGATCGTTTCGCATCGGGCTTGCAATCCACAGGTTCCTGGGCAAGGGTCCCTGCACTTGAGGCCCACGCAGGCCATCGTCTTGGCGCAATCGGAATTTTGGGTACATTCGGGTCTGCATCCTTCGTACGGGTCACCTATGTAGTCTGGCAAACAGGAACAGGAACCAACGCCGTTGTTCTCGCGACAAATCGCGTTGGTACCGCACGGGGAAGGCTCGCATGGTTTCCTAAGGTCTAGGGGTGTATCTGATGGAAAGAAAAACACTTTCTGTTTTAGTTTCATTGATCGTGCAACGGTGGTGGGTCAAAGCTTGTGCAGTGGCGTGAACTATTTCTCTGTTCAGAGTCGATGATTCTTACGGGCTTGAGACGCAAAGCGGAAGCTCTCTTCGACGATTTCGAGACTTGCTCGCTTTAGTTTGTATTGTTAGGGTGTTTCGTGAGTTTGGGTGTTTCGTGAGGCTTTTCATGTTTCATTAGGAGTTTATTTCGTTATGATTCGTTATGGTCATTCGTTGAAGCATGTTTTTGGGATCTAGATACATTTCTATAAGCATGTTTAGGTCTTCCTAAGGGGTTAATTTCTCCGTGTCTAGGTTTAACGAGGGTCTATCAAAAGGACGCAAGGACAAAGTGTTTTCAACTATAACACTGATGCAGGACATTTTACCTCCAGGTATTAGGGATTGTGCGGTGTTCTTCCTAGAATGGGTTATCGATCAGGGGGTGAGTGCAATTAAGAGCCTATACTCCGTAGGCCCCGCCACCATTCTCTTGACACGGTTATTTCTGGGGGTAAGTACGCAAGGGAGGCGTGCTGTTCTCAACGAACTAGTTAATCGCATGGGGTGATTCGTTTGCAGTCGACTTTTATCGTGAGTGAAAAATTTCTAAGGCCCCGCCACCATGACGCTTTGTCACTTTGTTAGGGCCATTAATTCTCGTCAACGGCGATGATCGCTTTTTGTTAGAGTACGCAATGAACGGGGTTAGAAAAGGTATGAACGAAAGCACTTACCTGCGTTGCCCGCGTGCAAAGGGCAAATTTTGCATGGAAGAGAAAAAGAATAGCGAAAAGTTGGTACAGTGAACTCACCCTTGGCGAACGGCTCACAAACGCTGAACGGATTTCCGGTGTAACCTTCGACACAAGCACACACCGCGTGGTGATTCACTACCGAACACTGCGCGTTCAGACCGCACAAACCCGCGCACGGATCGCGACACTTTTGTTGCATACACGCTAAGTGCGGCGGACACTCGGGATTTATCGTACACTCCGGTCTACAATTTGGCGGAACACCGATGTAGTTTGCGATGCACGAACAAGCTGGACTGTCGCCTCTCTGTTGACACTCCGCGTTTGGTCCGCATGGTGAGGGCTGGCAGGGGTTCGTTGGTACTGGTGGGGTCTCTGTAAATAAATAAAATATTTAGGGCACTGATAAATTTTATAAACACTGTAGAGATAATATAGTATATTATTGTATATACATATGCAAGTGTAACACTCGTCAAATGAGATGTGTTTTTTATTAGAAAAAGAAACATACTGGGCATCGGGTAGCATCTGGTGAACGGATCCCCGGTGTGTCCCTCGTGGCAGCTGCATATAGGATTGTGATTGACAACTTGACACCTGGTATTCTGTCCACAGGTACCAGGACAAGGGTCCTGACACTTGTTGTTCAGACATGCCTGAGTTAAAGGACACTCCGCACTGACCACGCATTCGGGTCTGCAGGCTGGAGGACTGCCAATGAATCCTGATTGGCAAGAACAGACTGCGTGGTCGTTCACCACTTTGCAGATGCTGTTTGCTCCGCACGGAGATGGCGTGCACGGCTGCTTACGTGGTTCTGGACAGATAAACATTTATTTAGTGCTCTACCATTACGAAGTACAAAGTGTTTCAGATATCCATGTCCACATATGACTGCGACTTCCTTTCTTTATGTGTGAAATATTTCATTTATGAAATATAAATTCAATACTTAAACGTAATTGCAATCAATGATGCTCATTTACAGTCATGTCCTTCGAACAATTCTTAAGTATAAATTAAATTAGAAAAATAATTGAAGTAGGATAACATTGGTCAATCGTAGAATATGTATCTTTTTCAATACATATCCATACATGGTCCTGAATGATGATCACATATATAGATATCATTGTAATCCAACTTACCCTCAGGCACGTGTTGTCTACACAATGTGAAAGGATCTCCAGTGGTCCCAGCAGGACAACTGCACATAGGAATGTGGTTGACCACATCACACTTCGCACTGGTTCCACAAGTGCCAACGCAAGGATCCACACAGTAGTGGTTCACGCAAGCTTTCACTCGAGAACAGTCCGAGTTCATGGTGCACTCCGGACGACAATAAGAGTAAGGATCGCCGAAATAATTCGGAAGACACGTGCAAACTCCGTCGCTGCATTCCGCGTTTGGTCCACAAGGTGAGGGGTTGCATCGATCCTCCGGTGTTTTTGGTTGTTCTGTAAATTAATATGTTGATAAAACCTGTTTACGGCATAGAAGGTATAAGGTACGTACCTATTATCTGCGAGCAGAGCGTGAAAGGATCTCCAGTGAATCCCGCCTGGCACAAGCAGACAGGAATGTGGTTCTGCACTCTGCAGTCTGCGTTCTGACCGCAGGATCCAACGCAGGGATCGCGACACTTTTCGGAAATGCACGCCTGAGTTGATGGACAGTCGGTGTTGACCACGCATTCTGGGCGGCAGTTGGGTGGAAGTCCGATGTAGTTCTTCAAGCAGGAGCAAGCTGCTTGGTCGCCGATTGCTCTGCACTCTGCGTAGAGGCCACATGGGCTTGGGTTGCAAGGATCACCCACTGGTGGCATTGGTGTCACTGTAAAATAAATAAAACATTAACAACTTATCCAAAGCGATACATAGAGGGAATAATATTATAATTAAGAAGTTCGAGGTAGAAATAAAGAAAAGTTGGACCTACCTGTATGAGGATAGCACCTGGAGAAAGGATCTCCAGTGGTTCCCTGCGGACAGCTGCACAACGGATTGTGATTGATCACCCTGCAATTGGCTCCCATTCCACAAGTTCCAGGACAAGGATCAGTACACTTGTACTTATAACACGCTCTATTTTGTGGACACTCGGAGTTGACCACGCACTCAGGTTTGCAATTCGGAGGTGATCCAACATAGGACTCCTGACAGGTGCACACGGCTTGATCATTGACAGCTCGGCACAGACTGTTAGGACCACACGGAGATGGACTGCACGGATCGACCACTGTGGGTTCCGTCACCGGACTTATTGGCAGAGTGCAGCTCGTGAAGGGATCTCCTACATAACCGGGTTGACAAGTGCAAGTTGGAATGTGATTGATAACCGAGCATTGAGCCTGAATGCCGCACACTCCTGGACAAGGATCCTCGCACTTGTTGCGAACGCAGGCCTTGTTGGTTGGACAGTCGGAGCTGAGGATGCACTCTGGTTGACACCCTTCGTAAGGATTTCCGTGATAGTCGTCGATACAGATGCAGGCACCCACGTTGTCGCGCTGCTGGCAAATAGCGTTAGGCCCGCAGGGTGATGGTTCACATGGGTTGATGGCTTCCTCTGCAAGTTATGGTAATAATTACTAAGAGGAACAAGGAGACGAACCTTAAAAACTGAAAATTTAGATCGTTTAAACAGACATACCTTCCAATACAATGCACTGGACGAATGGATTTCCTGTATATCCAGACGTACAGGAACACGTGACAGCATGATTGACCACGAGACACCTGGCGTTCTCGCCGCAAGATCCAGGACAAGGATCTGTACACTTCGAGTTTATGCACGCCTTGTCCGTAGGACAGTCAGGGTTGATGAGACATTCCGGACGGCAGGATGGCGGTGTGCCGATGTATGAAGGCAGACAAGAACAGGATGGATATCCATTTACGTTCTGGCACTGAGCGTTTGGTCCACAAGGTGAAGGATTGCAGGGATCTCCCATATCTTTAACTTCTGGTGAAACTGTAAATGTAATAATTAATAGGTTATGTGATTTCAAACAGCATAGGTTTTATTCGAGACTTGATACCACACTGTAGCTATTAACGTACTTGAAATGTCGTAGCAACTCTTGAAAGGATCTCCGGTCTGACCAGAAAGACAGCTGCAAATCGGCGAATGGTTGATGACCTCGCATCTAGCGTTCAGTCCACAAGACCCTAAGCAAGGATCCGTACACTTCTTGTTGATGCAAGCACGAGTTGGCGGACACTCGGAACTGACTACACACTCTGGTCTACAAGATGGCGGAGAGCCCAGGTAGCCTTGAAGGCAAGAACACACAGCGTGGTCCTCGACGTTGCGACACTGGCTATTTGGTCCACACGGTGAGACAGGTGAGCATGGATCTTTCGATGGTTGGGAAACTGCAACGAGTTGTATCTCGGTACTAACTGCAACTAGTTAAAGCATAAGTATTTAACTAGTATATTTACTTGGAGGTTGTACACGGCAGCTGACGAACGGATCTCCAACATAGCCAGTCAGACAAGAGCAAACCGGAATGTGATTCACCACGTCGCAAACCGCGTTCTGACCACACGTTCCTGGGCAAGGATCCTTGCATTTGTTCTTTAGGCAAGTCTTGTCTCGAGGACACTCGGAATTGAGGATGCACTCTGGTCGACAGGATTCGTATGGGTTGCCAATATATTCTGGCAGACATTCGCAGTCACCGTTGTTGCATATCGCGTTCGGTCCACAAGGCGATGGACTGCATGGATCGCTCACAGGTGGCAAAGTAGCTGCACAAGAATTATTATAGATCATTATAGACCATGTATCATTATAGATCATGAAAATATCTCTACAAGGCTAGATTCTCTTACTCGGAGGGATGATGGTGCACTGTGTGAATGGATCTCCAGTGAATCCCTCCATACACGTGCAGACTGGTATGTGATTCAGAACGTGGCACTGAGCGTTGACACCGCAGGACCCTGGACAAGGATCCTGACACTTCTGGTTCACGCAAGCAAGGTGACTCTTGCACTCGGAGCTTAGTATGCACTCCGGTCGACATTCTGGAGGCACACCGATGTAGTTGGGCAGACAGGAACACGCCGGATTTCCGGATATGATCTGGCACAAGGAATTGGGACCACACGGCGATGGAGTGCAAGACGGTGGTCTCTCGGTGGTCGGTGGAACATTTACATCTAAGAAACCGTGAATATTAGAAAAATTCAGGTTGTGACAGGAGTTATGTAAATTATTCTTACCATAAGGAGAACACTGGGTGAAAGGATCTCCTGTGAAACCACCGGGACAAGTACAGATCGGGTTGTGGTTCTTCGTGGTGCACTGTGCCCTCAGTCCGCAGGTATTCAGGCAAGGATCCGCGCACTTCTTGTTCACACAAGCTAAGTGAGCTGGACACTCGGCATTAACAACACACTCTGGTCTACAATTCGGTGGAATTCCTCTGTATTCCGGAAGGCAGGTGCACACTGCTTGGCCGTTGACTTCGCGGCACTTGCTATTAGGTCCGCACGGCGATGGTGAACATGGGTCCAATGGTGGAACTCCTGCAAATTATCAAAAAAAAAAAATGTATCCGAGACTCAGTTTATGTCGACATTTAATCAAGAATGACATTTACTTGTCATCTCTTTAATTTCGCATGCGTAGTACGGGTCTCCAGTGTATCCAGGAGGACAAGTGCAAACTGGAACGTGCTGTTGAACTTTACAGATGGATAGCGTGCCGCAGGTGCTGGGACAAGGATCTGAGCACTTGAATCCAACGCAGGCCAACTGTGGAGCACAATCGTTGTTCGACTCGCATTCCCTGTGGCATCCTCTTTCGTTGTCGTAGGGATCTCCGATGAAGTCCGGCGGACATGCACAGGCTCCCGCGCCGTTCCTCTCGCGACACTGAGCGTTTGGACCGCAAGGATTCGGCAGACACGGATTGGACACGCTTATGTCCGTAGCTGAGAAAGAGAATTAATTGTCACAAAATTGAAATCCCAAAAATTCGACATCAGGACGGAAACTTACTTGGAGGAGGTGCCAGGACGCAGCGCACACTAGCATCCCCTTCGTACCCTTCGGGACAAGTGCATATAGGCACATGATTCTGAACTGTGCACCTCGCAAGCTCTCCACAAGCACCCGGACAGGGGTTCTTACATCTCTGTTCTATACAAGCAGCCGAGTGGAAGCAGTCCGAATTGTCCGTGCACTCGGGTCTGCAGTTTGGAGGGCGACCCACAAAATTTAGAAGACACGAACAAGCCGGTTGTGAGCCGATCACTCTGCACTGCGAGTTTGGACCGCAGGGATTCGGAGAGCAAGGATTTCCCAGATCCTTGTACGGCGGTTGAGTTGGCTGGTACCTGACGCACTGTATCAACGGGTTCCCGGTGAAGCCAGTTGGACACGTGCAGATAGGGTTGTGGTTGACCGTCAGGCACTTGGTATTCAAGCCGCAAGAACCTGGACAAGGATCCGCGCACTTGTTGTCGATACACGCTTTGTTCTGAGAACAATCTGAGCTGACTATGCACTCTGGTCGACAGGTGGGTGGTACTCCGACGAATCCTGGTTGACAGAGACACACCGCGTGTTCGTTGTGCACGCGGCAGTTGCTGTTGGGTCCACAAGGTGAAGGCTCGCAGGGGTTGATCGGCAAAGGTTCAGGTGTTACTTCTATTCCGGTGCATACGTTGAACGGGTCTCCAGTGTATCCGGGCAAACAGGAGCAGGATGGAGCGTGGTTGATCACCCTGCAGGTTGCTCCTTGACCACAGGTGCCGGGACAAGGATTCACGCACTTGTTGTTGAGACAAGCCTTGCTGCGATCGCAGTCGGTGTTCGTGACGCACTCTGGCCTGCAGCCCGTGTACGGGTCGCCGATGTACTCTGGCAGACACGTACAGGATCCCACGCCATTTCGTTCGTTGCAAATCGCGTTTGCTCCGCAGGGCGACGGGTTGCAGGGTGTTCGGGGTTGTTCGGTTGTCGTCGGTTCTGAAGAGGTACATTTGATAGTAGTTGATACAATTAAGCTTTGCAAGAGTTTACAGATTTTACAATAGCAAAAAGTTTAATTATTTACATACCTTCTAGTATTGGTATACATTCGGTGAACGGATCTCCGGTGTACCCGGTGTTGCAGATGCAAACTGGATTGTGCTTCACAACATTGCAGTAGGTGTTCACACCACAGGAACCTGGACACGGGTCCACACACTGCTCGTTCTGGCACGCAAGGTTTCCTGGACAGCCTTCGTTAATCACGCACTCGGGTCGACAATTCGGAGCTCTGCCCACGTAGTTAGGTAGACAGGAACATGCCGGGAAACCGTCGATCACACGGCACTGAGAGTTTGGTCCACATGGCGATGGAATGCATGGGTTGCCGCTGGGTTCTGGTCCAGGTTGCTTCGGTTCCGCTTTAAGGTACAAATTTTCGTGAGGATCTTTAATACTGCAGTTTATGGATTAATATTTTACACGTCTTACGTTCTTTGACGCATCCAAAGAATGGGTCACCGGTGTATCCGGATGTGCAGCTGCATACAGGGTTGTGATTGATGACTTGGCAGTCGGCGTTTAGGCCACAGGTGCCTGGACACGGGTCTCTGCACTTTTGAGCAATGCATGCGGTGTTCTGAGTGCAGTCGGTGCTGACTACGCATTCTGGTCGACATTGTGGTGGACTGCCCACGTAGTCCGGTTGACAGGAGCAGACTGCGTGATTGTCGATCACGCGACAGTTACTGTATGGACCGCATGGGGATGGTTGACATGGATCGCCTGGTATTGGTGTAACTGAAAGGGAAACAGAGTAACGTTTTACTTCCTGCTGATTAACGCAAATTAAGAAGATAAAGTGGTAAGTTCTAAGGTAATTAAATGGTAACTTCTAAGGTAAGTAAGTTAAACTTACCAGACGATATGTGGCAAGATTTCAGAGGATCCCCAGTGTAGCCAGACAAGCAACTGCACGAAGGTTGATGATTGATCACTTGGCACTGAGCATTTATGCCACAGGCGCCTATGCACGGGTCCTTGCACTTGTTGTTTATGCAAGCCTTCGTGTGGACGCAGTCAGAGTTCTGGACACATTCGGGTCTGCATCCTTCGTAAGGATCTCCGGTGTAGTCAGGCAGACAGGTGCAGGAGCCAGCTCCGTTTCGTTCTTTACAGACTGCGTTTGCACCGCATGGAGATGGGTCACACGGTAGTGCAGCAGGGAAGGTTGCTGCAATTGAAAAATAGTATCAGAACTTCTGACCAAAGGTTTAAGTTAGTAATTAAATGATTAGTGTTACCTTTACTATATACGGAGGATTGAAATAGAAAGTAATGTTAGTATTTTTGAGCAGAGGTTTGAAATATGATTAGTATTACCTTTGCTGCATCCAGAGAATGGATCCCCTTCGTATCCCTCATTGCACTGGCACATAGGACGATGATTCTGCACCGTGCAGTTGGTATTGAACCCACAAGATCCTGCACAGGGGTCCACACACTTCTTCTGAACACAAGCCAAATAATTCGGGCAGTCCTGATGTATCAGACACTCCGGTCTACAATTTGGTGGCGCTCCAAACATTCCACTGATGCAAGTACACACAGGATGGTCTTCCTGCACCCGACATTCCGCGTTCGGTCCGCAGGGCGAAGGCAAACAAGGGTTCTTCGGTCCCGGTAAAGGTATATCTAACAAAGAAGAAAGCGAACTCCAGTATTCTTCTCTCTACACTCATGTGTACAATGTAGAATTATAATACAATCATACACATACCTTCTTTGACGCATTGCGTGAACGGATCTCCAACAAAGTCTGGAGGACAGCTACAAATAGGGTTGTGATTGATGACCTGGCATAATGCATTCTGCCCACACAAGCCGGGACAAGGATCTCCACACTTCTGACCGATGCAAGACAGGTGAGCGGGGCATTCGGAGCTAACTAGGCACTCTGGACGACAGGATGGTGGTGTGCCGTGGTATCCTGGGCTGCAGGAACACACTGCACGGTCGTTCATCACGCGACAGATACTGTGGGGTCCACAAGGTGACGGCATACAGGGGTTCTGGGCTGGCAGAGCTAAAAAATGAGTTAAATGTTCAGTTTCGTCAAAGGTAGTTCGGTCAGGGATAGTCGGTTTTGTCAAACGTAGTCAGTTCCATCAAGGATAGTTAGTTTTGTCAAAGGTAGACAGTTTCATCAAAGGTAGTCAGTTCAGGACAAGGTAATCAACAAGAACAATTCATAAAGAAACTTACGAGACTTCTCGACTTTACAAGAGCTAAACGGATCCCCAGTGTATCCAGGCAAGCAAGAGCAGACTGGAACGTGTTCAACCACTTCGCACTTGGCGTTCGAACCACACACACCCGGACAAGGATCTCTGCAGTGCTGATTGAAGCACGCCAGATGATTTTCACAATCCTGGTTCACGATGCACTCTGCCTCACAGCCGTCTATATACGGATTACCAATGAACGGTGGCACGCATCTGCATTTTGCGACGCCATCTTCTTCGACGCAGATCGCGTTCTTTCCGCAAGGCATCAGTAAACAAGGATCTTGCACGCCTGTCTGTGATACTGAAAGCAAATATTCCTCTCATTAAATTACAACTTCCCATAGCAAATATTACTCTTATTAAATTACAACTTCTAGCATACTTTCTTTGCTGTTAATAAAATTGCTATGATCTTTACCTGTACAACTCTGGTACGGATTTCCAAAAGTATTCGCAGGACAATAACATGGCGGTACTCTGTTCGCGTCGCAGCTGGCTCCAGCTCCACAAGGATTAGGATCGCACTGATCAGACTTCGGTACACATCCTCTGATGGTGTTAGGACTTTCAATGTACCCTGGTAGGCAGGTACACTTCGATAGACCGTTGTTCAAGACTGAACATTGAGTGTTGGGTCCACATGGTGATGGCTCGCAAGGATTCACAGGCAGTGCGCAAGGAGATTGAGGTGGATTCCCTTCGTATCCTGGGAGGCAGAAACACCTCACTTGTCCTGCCACCACGCGACAGCCGGAATTGACGCCACAAGGATTGCCTTGGCATTGGTCACCCTCTGGAACTGGATATAAGACATTTAATTAATCAAGGATATCGAATGAAGGATATTGTCATCGCATACAATATTTTTAGTTTATCAAGAAAATCACATGGACCAATTAAAGATATTTTAGAAAATAATTAAACTTACTGCACTGTTCGAATGGATTGCCAGTCAATCCTTTCGGACAGAAGCATATTGGATTGCCATTGTCGTTCTCGCACATCGCGTCCAAACCGCAAGGATTCGGTACGCAGGGATCCGTAGATCCTTGTGTGCAACCAACATGAGGGTCTCCTTGATATCCCGGATGACATCTGCACTGTGCCTGATGATTTTCCGGATAACAGTTAGCATTAGCACCGCAATCGGTCTCCAAACAAGGATCAATGCACTGTCTGTTCAGGCGGTCGCAATATTTGCTCGGTGGACAGTCCTCGTTGTACTGACAGATGTTCTTGCCTTCGTCTTCTACAATCATCAGATAATCATTGATATTTGCAAATTGATTTTGAGATAAGTTGAATGTACCTGGTGCACAGTAGGAGAAACCATTTCCGTGGTAACCGTCCTCGCAACTGCAGTCCGCTTTGTGATTCGTGTTAACGCAAATCGCGTTGTTGGCACACGGGTTCCAAACGAGACACGGTTCCTGACAAGTGCCCTCAATGCACGCCTCTGTCAGCGGACAATCTTTGTGGCTAGTGCAACCCGCTAGAGAAAGATGGAGAAAGCCCGTATAGCCCCGAGAAAGAGTGCAGAGGTACAAAATATAGGGTGACAGGCTCGAGTGTGTCATAAAATACAGTGTATCGTGTGTGTATGTGTCGGTGTGCCGAACAATCGTGTCGAGCGTGTTTCAGACTCGAAGTAATAGTTGAGAGAGTATCTAAACCGAAGGTTGTGTGAAATTGGAAATGAAATTGCACGTCGAATATCCACGGTATATGTACAGTACATACATATTTACAGATTGCACGCTGTAAAAAAGGTAAGTTGTGGAAGATATGGTTGCAGATGTGGGTACAAACCTTTGACGCACGTGTACGTCGCTGGGTCGCACTCCATGCCCGGTGGACAGTAAGGACAATCTGTTTCGTTTGTTATATCTGGGGAAATTATTTATCAAATTAAATTCTTCTGTAGTGTAAAATGAAATCATATAGGTATAGAAATTAAGAGGTACAAGTTCAGAATTATAGTAGGCTCTCGTTATAGTGCCACCCTCACGAGGGTTCCTGCCAGTCATTCTATCGAACTTGTATCAATTAATTTTCTATACCTCCTCGACTAATTTTTACCTTTCACGCAAACAGGTCTATGATCCTGAACATGGCACACCTCAACGAAGTCGCATGGGTTGTGAACAGTGCAGGGGTTCAAACACTGTTGGTTAATACAGGCCAGCTGGGAGAGACAGTCGTCGTGCGTTGCACATTTGGTATCTGATGAAACGAACGTGTATTAGAAGCTCAAAGTAAAGATCCATCGATTATAAAACATTTTGAAACTTTTCTATTTTTAATCTTGATTCCTTGAAATTCTCAACACATATGATTCATAAAATGTACAATACTAAACAGATATACACAAAATCCCCTAATTCCTAGAACATATATAATGGTTTTCGTGTTATATGTGTGAAACCCAGAAACAGTCGTTAGTTGGTCCACTTATAAAGGAAACTATCCGTAAAATATACAAACCGGAAGTTTTCTTTAGAAATGGATTCCATAAATTACAATTAATGGTTAAGTGAAGCGAGAAGAGATCGTGCAGAAGCACAATAATGTACAGCATGCAAAGAGCGCTAATGCAGCAGGTCCATGTCTGCACTGGATTGCAGAAGTACTGTAATTCTGGCAAACATTGAAATGTTCCATTTGTGTTGTTGTACCCGAGACCATCCGGACAAATGATGGATGATCGAACGATAACTCTCCAGAATTGGTTGCCTCCAATTTTCATCTGGATAACGGGTGATTGTCACGCTGCAAGATATTTTGCAGAGACACAACATTGGTGAACACGAGAACATTTACAACACTCCCGACAACACAGATCTTTACCTGGGAGTATGCTACAATTAGTTGTGCTCTGGTTGACTGTTAGGTTGAAGCACACGGGCCGATGCATTGTGTCCCATTCTGTTTCGTTTAAACACGGACCAGTCTGGTTTGAACAGATTTCGCATTCTTTATTGTCGATCGTTTTGTTGCAACGTGTATTTCCTGTTTCTGTAGGTGTTACTAGAGTTGTGGGTTCTGATGTTATCTGTTCTGTGAAATTTGGTTCTGTCGATTGATCTGTGGAATATTCTGTTGGCGAAGGTTGCATGGAGTAGTGTGTACTTGTTGAATATTCCGTTGTAGCGATTGTTGTAGGCTGTTCTGTGAAATATTGTGTTGTTTCCGGTTGCGTGGAGAATGGTTGCGTGAAATATTGTTCTGTATCAGGTTGTTTCGAGGATGGTTGTTCAGTTGTTGAAAATTGTTCTGTTAAATATTGTGTAGTTGTTGTAGGTTGTTCTGTAGAATACTGAGGAGTTGTTAAAGGTTGTTCTGTAGAATACTTAATAGTTGTTGTAGGTTGTTCTGTAGAGTACTGAGTAGTTGTTAAAGGTTGTTCTGTAGAATACTCAATAGTTGTTGTAGGTTGTTCTGTAGAGTACTGAGTAGTTGTTAAAGGTTGTTCTGTAGAATACTCAATAGTTGTTGTAGGTTGTTCTGTAGAGTACTGAGTAGTTGTTAAAGGTTGTTCTGTAGAATACTCAATAGTTGTTGTAGGTTGTTCTGTAGAGTACTGAGTAGTTGTTAAAGGTTGTTCTGTAGAATACTCAATAGTTGTTGTAGGTTGTTCTGTAGAGTACTGAGTAGTTGTTAAAGGTTGTTCTGTAGAATACTCAATAGTTGTTGTAGGTTGTTCTGTAGAGTACTGAGTAGTTGTTAAAGGTTGTTCTGTAGAATACTCAATAGTTGTAGGTTGTTCTGTAGAATACTCAATAGTTGTAGGTTGTTCTGTAGAATACTGAGGAGTTGTTAAAGGTTGTTCTGTAGAATACTTAATAGTTGTTGTAGGTTCAGGTTGTTTCGAAGATGGTTGTTCAGTTGTTGAAGGTTGTTCTGTAGAATACTCAATAGTTGTTGTAGGTTGTTCTGTAGAATACTGAGTAGTTGTTGTAGGTTGTTCTGTAGAATACTGAGTAGTTGTTAAAGTTTGTTCTGAAGTATACTGTATAGTTGTTGAAGGTTGTTCTGTAGTATACTGTATAGTTATTAAAGGTTGTTCTGTAGAATACTGTGTAGATGTTGAAGTTTGTTCTGTAGAATATTGTACAGTCGTTGATTGTTTTTCTGTCGAGTATTGATCCGTGGGATACGATTCAGTCGTTGATGGTTGTTCAATAAAAATCTGTGTTGTTTCTTGTTGTTCAACAGCGTATGACTGAGTGGTATATTGTTCAGTACTAGAAGGTTGTTCAGTTGTTGAAGGTTGTTCAGTTAAATACTGTGTTGTTTCCTGTTGTTCAACAGTGTGTGGCTCGGTGAAAGTTTCAGAAAATTGTGTTGTGGAGTATTGTTCAGTTGTTAAATGTTGTTCTGTAGAGTATTGTGTAGTTGTCGAAGGTTGTTCTGTAGAGTATTGTGTAGCTGTTGTAGGTTGTTCTGTAGAGTATTGTGTAGTTGTGGAAGGTTCTTCTGTATAGTATTGTGTAGTTGTGGAAGGTTCTTCTGTATAGTATTGTGTAGTTGTGGAAGGTTCTTCTGTATAGTATTGTGTAGGTGTCGAAGGTTGTTCAGTAGAGTATTCTGTAGTTGTCGAAGGTTGTTCAGTAGAGTATTCTGTAGTTGTCGAAGTTTGTTCAGTAAAGTATTGTGTAGTTATTAAAGCTTGTTCTGTATAACCCTCTGTTGTTTCCGTTTGCTCAACAACACCTTGCGTCGTATTATATTCCCTATCAGAAACTTGCGTCGCGACTTCTTGCGTACTACTCTCTTCCATAAAATACGATGTACTTTGCAAACTCTCAGTAGTCAGTTGTTCACTTGTCGATGTTTCAAACGTTGTCTCCCGCAAAGGGTACCGTGCAGTCACAGTGATCAACGTAACACCTTCTGTCGTCATCAAATTAGAACCTTCAGTGTTCAACTGCTTTTGAGTAGAACTATCAAACGTAACTACTTCAACTGTACTCTTTTCGCTAGACACATCTACATCGGTAACGTCATTTGGTGTTTCTGTCGTGTATATGTATATAGGTGTAACTGTAACAACATCTCCAGATAATGGTGTCGTTTCTGGGCAATGAACATACGTAACTGGAGTGACTATCTGAATTCTATCAGTTGTTACTCGATCATTTAACTGTGTCGTTAATGTTGTATCTGTGGTAACTTGTGTACTGTCATATGGTTCAGTTACGGTTTCGATATCTCCTACAGTGTGAACTTCTGTACTCTCTTCCGAAATGTCTTTAACTCCAGGAACCTCTGAAGTACTTGAAGTCGTAACAACAGACAACGTTGTGTCTATATCTTTAACGGTCGCAACAGTGTCCGAAAATGGCGTAGTGCTCAACAGCGTAGAAGTTTCTGAAGTACTCGTAACTTCAAGAGGCAACGTTGTTTCTATATCTTTAACCGTTGCAACAGTGTCTGAAGATGTAGAACTTTCTGAAGTGTCAACTGTCGTAGCCAAAGTTGAGCTACTTTCTTCGACAGGTACTGTACTTTCCGTCAAATGCGAAATTGTGGATGTCTCCTCGTGAATTGTGGAATATGTATTCGCTAGAGTATTAAGCTGTGTAGTGTTGGTTTCATCGATATCGTGAATCGTGTAATCGTAAGTAGACGTGGTAGTGTCTATACAAGTGTCATCCTCGCATCCACAAACAGGCCTGTGTGCTTTAACCCGACATCGAACTGGCAATCGACAATGGTCGACGCAAGGATCAACGCAGGATCCTTCGACACACGCTTCTGTGTCGCTGCAGTCGTCGTCGGACTCGCAGAAATAATCCGGCGTGTAGTCGTGAACTGCTGCGGATACAACATAACATCAGCACACTGATCGCAGCCAAGAGAGAAATAAGAACATAAGAAGGCTGAAAAACTTTCAAGCGTCTGATTAAACTATACTACGATCATACTGTTTACTCCAAGTAATCTACGAATTAATATTAAGATTAAGTTATTAGCATGCTCGCATGTATAATAAATAGACAAGCTATCGGTCAGAAGTATCACCGAATTAGGTCTTTACAGAGACAGATGTAACGGAGAAAAAAAATAATCGTCGAACAGTAAGAACATCGGCAGAGTAGCGGGAGAGTATTCTAAATTTCGAGGGTGGTGAACAGTTGTATCTGTGGTATAACCTGAAACTTTTGTCATTCAGACAACGGAATTGTGCTTCAAACCTATAAAGTCCAAATTGTGTTGGTAGAGTTAGTGGTGGGGTGCTCTGAGGGGAAAGATTCATTTATTATAATCAAATGGTTGTGTCGAAATCATTTGTTCAAATTACCAAGTCCTAATCACCAAACAATCATCACTGTGTATAGCCCTGTCGCTACTTGTACGACAACGTGCCTTTTGTTCATTGCAAACATGTTGCAACCATGTGTTCCATCACTACATGTCTTTATTATAATATGTTTCGACCATCGCTATCACTACTCACAGCTATCACTACTCAATTATTACTCGCCCCTGTCGCCACGCAATGCTGTCACTACTTGTTCATTACCACCCCATCACAACATTTGCCCACCCCTCACGCGCCAATATTGCTGTATGTCTTTACTAGATGATTCTACTAGCGGTGACTCTACTGCCACTCGTCCCCATCACTACACGTCCCAAACATCACATGCCTTATTGCTACGCATCTCCATTACTACGTATTGTATCGGTACGCATCTGCGTCACCACGTAGTACAGATATCGCTTCATTCTAAAGTTCATACACTCCACCACTTAGTCTATCAACCTAACTTAAACTGAAAGAAGATATTTTGTACATGAACCGTGATTCCACTGTCTGAATGTTCGGAAACCTGAAAAGTAGCAACTGGTATGTTTGGTGTGAGGCAGTATAGGCGAGTAAAAATCGTATAGAGATATCGTTAACGATATCCGGAAGAAGATGTCGTCGTCGGTGGCAGCTAAATGAAAGTCGAGTGACAGAGAGACAGTGAAGAGATACAGAAAGACGTGAGAGCAAGAGCGAGATAGAGAGATAGGTGGTGAGAAATGGTGTTTACCTTTCATGCATCCGTATTTAGTATCTGGCACAAAGCCGGGGGGACAGAACTTGCAGATAGGCTTGTGCTCCTCCACGTAACAGGGGGCATCAGCCGGACAGGTGGAGTTTCTGCATGGGTCCACGCAGCGATAGTTGCGGCACGCCAAGTCTGGAGAGCAGCCACTGTCTCGCAGGCAAATGGAGAGGGAGGGATTGCAATTTTGAGTGCAAATGCAGACAGGACGGTGGTCCAGGACATCGCAGGTTTTATCAGCCGGGCAGGGCTTTTTCTTTCTGACGTTACACGGATTCTGGCATTTCCCATTCACGCACGCGGCGTTCGACGGACAGTCGAAGTCCCTGGTGCATGTCAACGTGTCGGGGGCGCATGTCAGTTCGCCGACCTCGTTTACGACGAAGCCGTACTTGCACACGCACATCGGCCGGTGGTTACGCACCTGGCATCTCTTGTTTACCTCGCAGGTGTATCGAGAGCTCAAACACGGGTCCCGACATTCGCCCGTTCGCGTGTGACACGACAAACTCTCCGGACAGTCGCGATCCGACGAGCAACCGATGCTCGGTGTAGGTCTGGGATTGAGCGTGTCGCATTTGGGGTCTGGATGACAGGCCGTGTGGGGCATACCGATATAACACTGCGGACAGGAACACCGTGGCTTGTGCAAAACCACTCGACACAGAGCGTTGATCCCACAGGCACCGCGGAGACCACACGGGTCCACGCATTGCAGGTTTATGCAGGCTTTTTCATTGGGGCACTCTAGGTCACTGGTGCATTCGCGCTCTATCTCAACCAATATTTCGATGTTTTTATTTTAGAGTTCGTAGTGTCATTGGTGTAGAGTCGGTGGAACGGGTAGTGGTTGTGGTTGTGGTGGTGGTGGTGGTGGTGGTGACGGTGATGGGACAGGAAAAAAAAAGAAAAAAGCATATATAAGAACTGTGAAAAGAAACTTTCTCACAAATAACATAAACCACATGCTTTGTATTTATAATACGGAAATAAAATAGGGTAGCTCTTGTGAAGAAGTAAAATAGAGAACGAACTTTACAACTCTTTTACGACAACACGAGGTGTCAACCTCTGGTTGTCCAAAGAAATATATATACATACGGGTGTATATATATATGTACCGTACATTGGCAAGCAGCGATATTTACAACACAAGCCCCCACAGAATTCAACGAGAAAATAAGAGGAAATGTAACAGTGGATAAATCCAGCAAAAAAATAACAAGCATGGGTAATATGAGAATGTCCCTTTCGCAGTTCCCAATCTGTATCATTAAATCCTATGTCTAAAAAAAACGGTTCATCGGTGTTCACTGTGAATGTGTACCTTTTTTGTCGTTGCAATTAAATGCCGTCTATATGTCTCTCTCTCTCTTTCTTTATATATATGTATACTTATTTTTTTCATTAGCATTTTGCTCGATAATACGGTTTCCTCAAGACAGATTGGATACTGAAATAAACATTCTACATATGAATAGTTATGTGTGAGACATGTGTGATATGTGTTTCTTCTTCGGACACATTATGTACAGTATGCCTAACTGTCTAGTTATATATAAATATTTATGTATATATATGTACAGGTAATGTTGACCATTGTGAAATCCAGTGTCGTATAATATATATATATGTATAAAATCTGGTAACTGGTCCAATCACATCTGTCTCTCAATTGTTAACGATTCACTGGATTAATACATCTATGTATTACTTCAATTCCTACTAGACGATACATGGTTATTCTACGGACCATGTTCCTCTGATCGTCAGTATTGCTCGCTAGTCACAAATGCTGTACATGAAATTAATAGATCTGCCCGGTTAAACAGTTAGTAGGTCGTCTCTTACCTGTGGTGCACTCAACGTCTGGCGAGCCCCTGGTACCAGGCGGACATCTGCACACAAATATCGCACCGTCTCGGATGCACTCTGCACCCTTGCCGCAACCGTTCGTGCGACAATCGCCTAAGCTCTTGTCTGCGCTACCTGTAATCACAAATCAACCATTAGTCTGCAATTCGTGGTCCACACATGCTAGAAATTCTAAGATAATGTAGCTGCGAGGTTAGATAGTTTTGAGACAGGGTGACCTTAGGGTGATGTTGGATTTAGGTGGATTTGAGATTGGATGTATAGAGATAGGCTCCTATGTTAGGAGTAGGTGACTTGGAGATGAAGTAGTGTTTGCACAAGTCTCCTTGGAATAAGGTATTATTGGAATGAGTTGACCTTGATATAACCTAAGGTTGAAATCCTATAACCTTGAGATCAAACACTAGAACATGATGACCTAAGAGAATATAGGCTTAGGTGACTCCAAATGTTGACCTACGTCTAATATTCCTACTAATTCCTTGAAAACCATATACTACATAATCTTCAAACTTACAAGCTTGCATCGGATCGCCAGACGGATAGTTCGGTGGGCAGTAACACTGTGGCTGGTTCTTGTAAATGCGACAAGCAGCATTGACCCCGCAACGAGCGTCCTTGCAGAGTTCTCCTCCGTCACAGATACAAGCCTGATGAGGATCGCCATGGCATCCAGGATCGCAAGTGCACTCGAATCCATTCAAAGTCTCTCTGCATTTCGCGTTCACTCCGCAAGGTCTCCTCAGACACTCGTCTCCTCCTGAAACATCGAACGTGTCCTTCAAAAGTCCTTGAACAACAACAAATAAACTGCATCTCAATACCTTTCTTGCAGTTGATCTTAGGGTTTCCGTAGTGTCCAGGTGGACACGAACACTGGGCCTTTCTGTTGACTACCCTGCACTGAGCGTTGAATCCACAAACACCGTGTTGCAGACAAGGATTCGTGCAAACTCCATCCTCGCTGCAGCGTTTGTTCGCCTCGCAGTCGTCGTCCCGGTGACATTCCAGCTGGTAGCATTCCTGACTGGGTTCTCCCTGGAAACCTTCTGGGCAGAGGCACACTGCACGGTGATTTGACACACGGCAAAGGGCGTTGATGCCGCAGGGAGATCCGTTGGCGGAACACGGGTCCTCGCACTGGCCGTTCACGCAGGATAAAGATGATGGACAGTCGGAATGAGTGCGACAGCCGACCAGACATAATCCTCCGTCGCAAACGTAACCCTACGATAAGACATATAAGTAAATTATAGGATAGGTAAATTAGATAAGTAGATAAGTGGGGTATGTTGTAAATAATAAATGCAACTTCTTATAGAAAGCATGAAGTAAATTACCTTCGGGCAGTAATTATTGATGTCACACTTGATGCGACATTTTCCGGAATGACAAACTTCGCCGCAGGAGCACTGATCCTGCAAGGAGCAGCTCGTCGTGCAGAAACCGATCTCGTCACACTCGCAAGAGCCATCGCAAGGAATCATGGACTTAGCACAGCTGATTAACGCGTTTCCGTAATAGTTAGCTGGACAACTGCATTGTGCCACGTGGTTCACCACCCGACACCCTGCGCACTCTCCGCAAGCCTTGCCACCCTCGCATGGATCTATAAGAGAAACCGTCGCTCTTAGAACCCATTAGTTCACAATATCATACGAAAACTTACTTTTGCATTTGTTGTTAACGCAAGATTCGTCGTTAGGGCAAGAGTTGTCGCTGCGGCATCCAATGTCGCACAACCTGTTCTGGCAGATCTGATTCGCCGCGCAATGATCATCGCTGTTGCAGATAGCCTTGCAAATTCCAGCGTCGCATCGTTCGTCGCTCAGGCAATTAGCATCGCTACGAAACGATTTACATATTGTAACCAGTTCGTAACAAGGAACAGCGTGTACTTCAAGGATTAATTGTTTCACCTTCTGCAAGTGGCGTAACAGGATCTTCCATAACAAGTTTGGCCAGTCGCGCATTCCAATTCCGTGTTGCAAGGAAGGAACGCCTGTTTACATCCAATTACGGGATCGCCAACAAGCGGTGCGGGACACGCGCATAATTTCCGGTGATTCACGACCGAACACTGAGCGTTCACTCCGCAGGCGTTGGAGAGCGAACAAGGATCTACGAAAGGTCATCAGAAATTCATCAAAATTTAAAAGAAGAAAATTTAGAAGAGCTGTAGAACCCTCGAAGACTCTAAATATAATTCCTGACAATCTACAGGCTAACCTATCAACTAGTAATTATTAAACCCATCACTACCGAGTGCATGCAAGGTTCTTACCCTGACACTGGTTGTTTATGCAAGCGAAATTTTCCTGGCATTCCACATCGGACCGACATCCAATCACGCAAACAAGTCCCTCGCAAATCTCTCCGCTCCTGCAATCCTCGTCCCTCCTGCACAACGATTTACAGATGCCCGAGGGGTCGCAGCGTTCGTTGCTGAGACAATTCAAGTCCGTAGAGCACACAGGTGTGCAAACTCCTCCGATGCACGCTGTTCCCGTCGCACAGTCTCTGTTCGCCTGACAGGCAGGTCCAGGTGATCTCAAACAAGCCACTTTCGCGGTTGGGTTCGGTATGAAACCCGCGGGACACGAACAAGTGGCTCGTTGATTGAACACCGTGCACTTGGCGTTGGGTCCACACGGAGTTGCCTCGCAAGGGTTGGTGCATTTGTTGGTGATGCAGGCTTCGTTCGCGTTGCAGTCCTCGTCGGCGCGGCAGCCGAATGTACACATGTTGTGCAGACATATGTGACCCAGGAAACAGTCGTTGTCGAGTCGGCAGGTTAGCAGGCAGTTGCCGCGGACGCATTTCTCGTTGAACGCGCACTCGTTGTCGCTGGTGCAGATTGGGAGACACACGTTGTCGCGGCATGTGTTGCCTTCGTTGCAGTCGTTGGTGTCTCTGCAGGACACGGGCACTGGAATGGGGAAGTATTTGAATCATAACTAGTTGCTGGACTTTCAAATTTAATCGGAAGAAAATTATGAGGGTAGAGTTGATTATGTGGGCAGAGAAGATGAAGGTCTAGATGATTGTGAAACCTCCTAGTACCATCTGCTACCACTCGATCCTATCACTACACGTCCCTGCTACCGCTCGATCCCATTACCATGCAACCCTATCACATTTAATGACCATCTCACAAAACTTACATCTCACACACTCCAGCTCCGAGTTCCCAGTGAATCCCGGAGCACAGCTGCACTGTTTGATATGACTCTTCACATTGCACTCCGCGTTAATTCCGCACGCGGCTCTCATGTCGCAAGGATCGAGACACTGTCCGTTCTGGCACACGTCAGATAGATTGCATTCCTCGTCGGATTGGCAGAACGCTAAAGGAATTTCAAATTAATTCGATCGAAGATTATTACGTATAATGGTTACGTAGCACTTACGTCGGCAGATTCCTTCGTAACAATAAGTATTGGTCGAGCAATCAGTGGCTGACGAGCAAACGACCGGTTTGGGCCGACAGCCTATACTTAAATTGTTAGGATCACCCTCGTAATCGGATCGACACTGGCAGGCTGCTGCGTGATTAGCAGCCACGCAGTCTGCGTTCGGGCCACATTGTGTACGCGAGCAAACATCTAAAGCGGAAGAGCAGGATTATGTAACTGGTAATTTGTAATATGGTTTGAGAAGAAAATGTACGCACCGAAACACTTTGGTATGTTGTTGACGTTTATGCACTTGGCGGTCAGTGGACAATCGTCGTCGTGCAGACACTCGACTGGTGGTTGACAGCCACTGTTGTACGGATCGCCAACCATGCCTTGTTGGCAGTGACACTTGTAGGAGCCTCTGGAGTTCTCGCATATCGCTCCAGGGCCACACGGTTCGTTCAGACAGTAATCGATCAGCTGGCAGCCATGAGTTGGTTCACCGGTGTATCCCGGTTGACACGTGCAAATCTAAAAGATAATAGTCTTAATATTTCAATATGAGTTTTACTTATTACAAGTAATTACCTGAACATGTCTCTCCGCCGTGCAAATAGCATTAACGCCGCAAGGATTGTGGGCCAAGCACGCAATCCTGCACTTGTGAGTATCGCAGATCTTCTCTCCACTGCAGTCATCATTGATCTCGCACTCGATGGGCTGACAACCGATCTTGTCGTCTTTGGCGTTTCCAAAGAATCCATTCTTGCAGGAACACACTGCCACGTGGTCGTTGGCTCTGCACTCGGCGTTGCGTCCGCAGAGGACCAAATCGCACGATTTCTGACACTCTGCTTGTCCAATGTTGTTCTTAATACATCGCTCATCGTCGGAACAATCATCGTCTGATGTGCATCGCAGTTCTTGTACGCAGATGCTGTTGTGACAGTACTGATACTCCGGACAGCTGGAATTGCTTTTGCAGGTAGGCTGACAGAGACCGTTGATGCAGAGCTGGTCGCCGATGCAGTCCCTTGTGCTACCGCAGAGTGCTGGACAAATACAAAACTTGTAAAATATCTTCTTTCAATTTTCGTTCATTTTGTTTGACTTTTATATACCTGTACATATTCCACCGTTGCATGCCGATCCCGTTGCACACTGAGAATCCGATTTACAGTACTGAACAGGTGTACAACCCAGATTTGGGTCACCGGTACCACCTGGCTGGCACGTGCACACAGCACTGTGGTTTAACGGTGAACAATCCGCTCCTTGGCCACAGACGTTCGACAGAGAACAAGGATCGACGCACTTGTGATTGAAACATGCGTCCGAAGGACTGCAGTCGCTGTGGTAGTTGCACTCCAGGTGAACGCATTCCAACTGAAATTGTAATTACAGTTTAAGAGAATCTAATTGCAATTATAGCTTAGAGAATCTAAGATGATTAACTGCAGAGTTTAAAATGATCAAAGAGGTTGAGCAAAGGTTTGATCAAAGAATACTCACAGCAGGATTTCCAGTGGTTTGGCCAGGACATTTGCAGAGGGGAACGTGATCCTGCACGAAGCACTCCGCGTTCCTGCCACAGGTAGTCGAAACGTCGCAAGGATTCGTGCATCTGTTATCGATGCAGGCTGCGGAATTTGGACAGTCGGAGTCCGTGAAGCAAGCTCCAGGTTGCTTGCAGCCGGACTTGAAGGGATCTCCTACTAGACCGTGTGGACAGACACATTCGTACGATCCCTCTGAATTCTGGCAACTACATGAGAAAATGTTTCATAATTACTGTAATGGATAATACTAGTTTCACTTTTGTTGTTCACATATCACAATACTTACACTGCAGAAGGATGGCAAGGGTTTTTCAAGCATTCGTTAACGTCAACGCAGATATCGCCTGCCAGGACAAATCCAGGATAGCACTTACACTTTCCAGTGTGATCGTACGCCACACAATTACCGTATCCACAGTCCACCTGGTTACAAGGACCTAGATACAAAACAAATGTTTATTTCGAAACAAAATTCAAATGACATAATAATAATCCGAAATAATTTTCAATCACTTACTGCTGCATTTGTTAGTATCCTGATTGCAGTATTTGTCCGTGGGACAGTCAGTGTTGGAGAGACACTCCACTTTGAAGCACCCAGCCGAGTCACCTATGTACCCAGGTTGACACTGGCAGGCAGCAGTGTGATCCAGCACGGAGCAAACAGTATTGGGTCCACAGTCAACCAAAGAACATGGATCTGTGCAATTATGTTGGACGCAAGCCTGCGAATCTGGACAATCAGCGTTCACCGTGCACTGATGAGGAATCACGCATCCCGATCCCACAGGATCACCAGCGGTGCCCAGCGGGCAGACGCAGCGGTAAGATCCCTGAAGATTAACGCACTCCGCACTGGAATGACACGGTTGATCCTCGCATTCGTTCACATCCAGGCAATGTTCCGGTCCAGCGGTGAATCCGTGACTGCATTTGCATTTGTTGTTGATGCACACCTCGTTGTTCTTGCAGCCGTTGTCGGAAGTGCAGCCCACTTCGCACACTCCGTCGATGCACAATTCACCGGGCAAACAGTTGCTGTCGCTGTAGCACACTTTGACACAGATGCCGCTCTTGCAGCGCTCTCCTTCGGCGCAGTTGTTCTGCTCGCTGCACTGACACTGACAGAATCCGGAGACACACACGTGTTGGCTGGGGCAATCTTGGTGACCGTCGCAGATGCCGGGCACTCGGACACAGCCCTGCTGGGGTGTGGGGTTCCCGTGAAAACCGAGGGGGCAGGTACAGGTTGTTGCGTGGTTGGTGCAACTGCAGATGGCGTTTGGACCACAGACATCTTTCCTTTTACATGGATCTAGAAGGTGTAATTATAACTTTGTGATTATAGACTTTTACCAGTTAACTGCTGAATCATCCTACTAGTACGTGTGACTTATCTAATTTATCTTTAACTAGTTAAATAACAAACCTTGACACTTATTGTTGATACACGACTCAGTGGAGGGACAGTTCTTGTTGCTCCGACATCCCAGAATGCAAACTCCATTGACACAGGCTTGATCATTCTGGCACTGATTGTGTGTGACGCAAGGAATCATGCACTTGTTGTTCAGACACTTTTCACCAGTCGAACAGTCAGCAGTTGCCCGACAAACAGCTATAAGAAACATTCCTTAATAACAAGATTCTACAGATATTACAATTGAGTACAAGAATAAATTTTACCTATGCATTGTCCATCGAGGCACACGCTTTCATCACAATCAGCATCAACGGTACAATAATTCTTCACGCGTACACATCCATCTTGCGGTCCTTTCGACGACGGAACAAACCTGTGTATACACTTGCAAGTTGGTTGTCCATTGATAACTTCGCAGATGGAATTAGGTCCGCAGGCATCTTCGCAAGGATTGACGCAACGATGGTTGTGGCAGATGGAGTGCACAGGACAGTCCTTGGCGCTAGCGCAGTATCCTTCGGGTTGACAGCCTTCGCCGTAGGGATCGCCTACGAAATTAGGTGGACACTGACAGATGGGGTTGCTGGAGGGTCCTGGAACGCAGAGGGCCGACTCGTGGCAGGGATTTGGATGACAAGCTTCGAGGGCAACGCACTCTACGTCGGGCACTGGGTTCGGTCTAAGCCCAGGCGGACATTGGCAGATAGCTCTGTGGTCGTCCGCGATGCAGACAGCGTTTACTCCGCAAGCGTTTTCGTCGCAAGCATCGTAACAAGTGTGTGTCAGCCTGTTGCAGAGCTGAGTAGGTGGGCAGTCGATGTTGTAGACGCAAGGAACCGTGCGACATCCTTTCACCACGTCGTTGGGATCGCCGGCGTAGAGTCCAGGTGGACATTCACAGTTGGCAACGTGATTGTGGACCACGCAGAGAGCGTTAGGACCGCAGGTGACGAAGTTGCATACCGGCTGACAGATCAGCAGACCTTCCTCCGTGCTCCTGCAAGTCTGGTCCTCCGGACACTCGCTGTCGGTAGAGCAATGATCCTTTCTAGGAGTATGACAACCCTGGCGATCGTTTGGATTGCCTACGAATCCTGGTAGACAGTCGCAGCGACCGCGATGTCGTTCGGCCACGCACTGAGAGTTGATCGCGCAGGTGAAACTACGACACACGGAGACACACTTCAACACACCCAGAGCATCCGGTCTACAGGCTTCCGTCGAGTGGCAGTCGTCGTCCGAAATGCAGTCGGGAACCGATGGTTTCTCGCAGGAGGACAATATGGGGTTCCACTCGTATCCGTCCTGACATTTGCAAGTGGCATGACCGGGGATTATATCTGGCTCGCACTTCTGGTGGGCACCGCAGACCACCTTGCTGCACGGATTCACGCACTCGCGAGCACCACTGTCCAAATCGATGCAGAAGGAACCCTCCTGGCAGTCGGAATCGTGGTTACATCCGGGTGTTATGACCGACTTGGACGGCTGGCAGCCTTCCACCAGGTTGCTGGGGTTACCCTGGTACCCGTCGATGCACAGACACGAGGACACGTGATTCTGAGTGATGCACAACGCGTTCGGACCGCACTGCAGCTTACTGCACGCGTCGACGCACTTTCGAACACCCTTGCCAACTTGGAAACAGATTTGCTGCGGTTCGCAATCGAGGTCGTTAGAGCAGTGGCCGTGAAGGTGGCAGCCTTTGGTGAGGTCGTTAGGGTTGCCGCTGTAACCTGGAGGACACAGGCAGGCTCCATCCTGACAGACGGACCTGGGACCGCATTTCACGTCGCTGCATTTATTTATGCACTTGCCAGCCACACAGCTGTAGTCGAAGGGACAGAGTACAGTGTCGCTGCAGATGCAGGTTGAAGGATCGGTGCAGGGTCCCACTTGCACCTGCTGACAGCCGATGAAGGGGTTGCCGAAGAAGCCCTCTTTGCAGCGACAGTCGTAGCTGCCAATCGTATTGATGCATACCGCGTTGTTTCCGCAGGCGTTTCCGTTGCACTCGTTGATGTCTGTAGAAATTAAACTCGTTAACCATGTATATAGGTACTAATTCTTAATGAACATTTGTACCAACCATGACACTGAATGTAAGGGTTGCCCGCGTAACCAGGAGGACACAAACACTCGACAGCGTTAGGTCCAGCGTTACAGTGTGCGTCTTTGCCGCACAATGCGGTAGAGCAATCGGACTTCTGTTGCACGCCACAACCGTGATAAGGATTTCCACTCGTGCCAGGATTACAGACACACTTGGCTTCCTGCAGAGTATACTCGCAGTGGGCGTTGGTACCGCATCCAGGATCACAGATAGCAGGATTGATCGCTGTCAGGTTATAAATCATTAGTGACTTTTTTGTGGAAAGGTTGTTGGTTTAATTGTAACACTTACGTGGCATGCAGAGGAGGTCAGGATTTCCAATGAAGTACGGGTTGCACACACACTTGTTCGTAGCTGGGTCGCAAGAGGCACCAACGCCACAGACTACGCCTTCGCAGCGACGCTTGCACCTTCCGCTTATGCACACGCTTGGCTCCGCACAGGGAACTTCCGGTGAACAGACGTCCGGTTGGCACTGACCTCCAGGGAATGGATTACCCATGAAACCTTCGATGCACTTGCAAGTTGGTCCGCTGTAGCTGACGATGCACTGGGCTCCCGCACCACAGACGAAGCCATCACATTCTGTGAAGACGTAAACGTTAATCAGAAATTCAGAAGATGAAACTTTGAGAACCTGCTTGCTATTCAACAGCAACAGCGTTCAAAACTGTTGGAGATATTCCGTAGATACTCACGCGAAACACATTCGTTGTTTTTGCCCTCCACGAATCCGATCACGCACCGACACCAAGCAGCATGCTTGTCGGGTTCACAATACGCGTTCGGACCACAAGGTATGTTGTCACAGGGGTTCACGCACCGTCCGCTCACGCAAGCGAAGATATTATCACAGTCGTCGTTAGAAGAGCACTCGTTCTTCGCAATAGCAACTCCCGTACAACCAGCACCGTAAGGATCACCCACAGTTCCCTTCGGACACTCGCATATATGATCACCCTTGGTGTTGATGCAGTAAGCACCGTGTCCACAAGGATTATTCGCGCATTCGTTCACATCGATGCACCCGTGTTGAGGATCTCCTTCGTAGCCAGCCTCGCACATGCACCTCGGTGGGTCGCTCGGTGTACACTTGGCGTTGATACCACATGGGAAACGGTCGCAAGGGTCTGAAATATTTAGAAGATTTTTAAACAACTGTAATAGTCAAAGTACACTAAATCAAGTGACTGATGAATGACTAATACCAAGTGACTAAACGTATAAAGTGACTTACTTTTACAAAGATTGCCATCGAGAGGGTCGGAGTAAAACGGTGGTGGACAAACGCATTCACCAGGCTGCACACACTTCTCGTTAGCTTTGCACTCGTTGTCGTTTGTGCATCTCTTTTGCGCTGGGGAGCAGAGACCGTTGTATGGGTCTCCACCATAACCGTGTGGACAGGCACACTGATAGGAACCTGGCAAGTTTATACACTCGGCTCCGTAGCCACAAACCTGGTGTCCAACGATGCACTCGTTTATGTCTATAAATTAGAGTTGGTTCAAAGATAATCGATGAAGGATCGATAAGGTCAATTAAGATAAAGGATAGATACAAACCCTCGCAGGAGCCGTCAATTTTGGTGGTGTATCCTTTAGGACAGGCACAGTAGCTAACTCCGCCGGCAATTGTTATGCACTCAGCACCGCTGGGGCACTTTTCGCCCTTGGAGCACCCAGCCAACATGCACTTTCCGTTCACGATCTTGTACGGAGGTTGACATTGACATTCAATGCTGTTACATTCTGCAATTGTCACAAATCAGCTTATAACAAATTCTTCAAGACTTATTTTAAAATAAAATAATATTCCACCTTCGCAGAGAGAGAAAGGATTGCCGTTGAACCCAGGTGGGCACTGACACTCGTAGCTGCCAGGAAGATTCTTGCAAATGGCGTTAACCCCGCAAGCAGGTTTCTCCCTGAGCTCCATACACTCGTTGATGTCCCTGCATTTACCGGATTCATGGTCCCGGGTGTATCCCCTCTGACAAATACACACACTGCTGCCCACAAATTCGTCCTTGATGCACTGTTCCCCAGCCGGACACGGGGTGCTGGGTCCACAAACGTGAGGAGCCTTCGACTCCTGGCAACCACCGCTGTAAGGATCCCCTGTGGTGCCACTAGGACACTGGCAGGAGAAGGAACCAGGCTCGTTGTTACAGATCGCTCCCTGAGGGCACGGGTTGATCGCGCACTCGTCGATGTCTCTGCAACCACCCTTAACTCCAGGCTTTCCGGTGTAGCCGCTGCGGCAGAGGCAGGTGGCCACGTCGTTGGATAGCATGCAATGTGCATTTGGTCCACAGGTCAAGTCCTCGCAAGGATCTGATTTAAAAAATATCAGAAAAGTTTAGTATTATAATTGTAGTATTTAATATTAGAAGGTTGATCATTAAAATCAAGATTCACGAATATTTACGTCTGCAGTCGTTTCCAACATTGGGCTCCGGACACAGACACCGTTTCTGCGGGTCGCAAATGGCATTTCCAGGGCAATCACCGTCAGCTTCACAAGTGACTATACCAACACACTTGATGTAAGGATCAGGATCAGGTATCGTACCCTCTGGACAGGTGCATGTGTAGGAACCTTCCGTATTCGTGCAGGTAGCTCCATGACCACAGGCGTCGTGTCTACTACACTCATCTACGTCTGTATTCAAAATAATTATTAAAATTATTAAGATAGTTCAGTAGATAAGTGTGTTATTTGTGGTCCTGACGTACCCAGGCATTGTTTGAAGGCATTTCCTGAGAACCCTGGTTTACACTGGCAACTAAAGCCACCCAGAGTGTTGGTGCAGATCGCGTTTCTTCCACAACGGCCAGAAGGACCATTTACGGCGTCACATTCATTTATATCTAGTTTGAAAAAGAAATTAACCATTAAGTCCAAAGACCATAAAGTTCGTAAAGTCTGTAGACTCCTAAAGTCCCTAAAGTCCCAAACCTAAAAACTATTCTTACCAACGCAGCCAGCTGCAATATCGTTCGGATTGAATGTCCAGCCATCCTCACAAATACAGTACGCTTCATGACCATCAGCCTTGCAGTACGCATGGTCTCCGCAAGTTACTTCGTCGCAAGGTGCTGTAATAAAACCACGTGAACCATCTCTGCACAGTCACCATAATTCGACTTCAATTTACCTTTGCAGGGTATGTGCGGTGGAGTTCCAACGAAACCAGACTCGCACTCGCAGTGGTAGCTTCCCCTGGTGTTGCTGCAGATGGAAGCAGGTCCGCAGGGGTTCGAAAGACACTCGTCGAGATCCACACACTCGGCACCCACTGCCTTGAATCCATTTTTGCAGAAGCATTGTCCTTCTATGCACTCGGCGTTGTTCACGCAGTCGAAGTTCGATTTGCATAGGGTAGTCACATCGGTCTGCAATAGGTAGGCAGTCAAATTGAAAAGACTCAAGAGTTAGGATGAGTTAGGAGGGAATACAAGTTAGGGTAAGGTGAGTCACCTGTTCACACGCTACTGTTGGGTTGGGGTTGGCACTGTACCCCGTTGGACAGACGCAGTTGTATCCAGGATCCGTGTTCTTGCAAATGGCGTACTTTCCGCAAGGGTTCTCCAACGCCGTGCATTCGTCGATATCTAAGAATCAACATTGACGTAAAAGTGGAGAACCTTGCTTTCTATTATCGAAAAGATTATTCACATCTAAGAGCGACCACACACTGCAGATTTGTCATCGGCTGATAGCAACAGATCGAAAATTTGATCGAGCCAATACAAGATCTGTAGTGAGTACTCTAACAGTTAGTTAGGGTGCAAGTCTACGCAACCGATGTGATGGCACCCTTTAACCTTTAAAACGAGCAGTCACGCTCAAACTAAAGATGTTAAGAATTGTGAACGTGTTAAGACTCCATGAATTGAATTAAAAAATTAGTTGTAACGAATTGAAAGAATGATTGTATGATCTTAATTGCTAACCGCTGCATCCCTTAAAAGGATCTCCTGTGTAGTCCTCCTTGCAACTGCATACGAAGCTGCCGATCGTGTCGCTGCACTCGGCATTCTCGCCGCAAGGATTTCTCTCGCATTCGTTCACGTCTGTTAATCAACACGGTTAATCGCATGTTATCGTTACTGGACTGGATTATTCACAAACGTGACAACTATATGATCTTTAGAAGTTAGAGAGGAGACTGACTTTCACACAGTGTTAGTCCTTGACCGATGAAGCCCTGGGGACAGATGCACTTGTACGATCCCGGCACGTTGATGCATCTTGCGTTTTCCGCGCATGCATCCGTCCGACCGCACTCGTTCACGTCGATGCAACCGTGTGTCGAATCCATCTGATATCCAGCACGACATCTGCACTCGAAACTACCCTCCGTGTTCACGCAATCCGCGTCCGCGCCACACGGTGAACTCTCCTCGCACTCGTTTATATCTGTTACCGCGATGGTTAGTCACTATTAGCTCTTGATTAATCACAATCGATACGTGTTACCATGAATTTTATTTTATTGTTAATACGGATGATTATTAGACTTGATATAATAATTTGCTCATGAAGTGAAGCATCCTTATATTATGAACAAACAAAGAGAATTTCTTTTTGACGTCATGTGGACGTCATATATGTGATTTGTCATATATGTGACTTGTCATATACAGTGAAATATACATATATTTCATGTGTTCATATGGAGATATACTAGTGAAGATTTGTACTAAAACGAGTGGTCAATACATGATTGGATCTTCTAAATAGCAGCCATATAACGAGACTCCACTGTATAACGTTTCCCTACCTTATCTATCACTTACCAGAGACTGTTACAATCTCAATTTACGCTTTCTAATCCTAAGTATTACTATAACAGATAATTAAAGATAGAGTTGCTCACCGTGACAGCCAATCCAAGGATCACCGCTCATTCCTTCCGGGCAAGAGCAGCGGAAGCTGCCATGTACGTTTATGCATTGAGCTGATCGACCGCAGGGACTGCGCACACATTCGTCGATGTCCACGCATTCTTCCTCGGGGTTGCCGTTGTATCCTTCAGGACACTCGCACTTGTGAGCACCAGGTAAATTCACGCACAGAGCACCCCTTCCGCAAGCACCCTCGTATTCGCATTCGTTTATGTCGATACACTGCATCAAATTATATTTCAACTCATACTGATCATATATACCAAACACTTAAACTTGTATGAAGAAGTGATCATGTATAAAATAATTAAACATATATGTACAATTGTTCATATGTGTCAAATGATTGAACATGTATGTACAATTGTTCGTGTGTGTCAACTGATTGAACATGTATGTACAATTGTTCATGTGTGTCAAATGATTGAACATGTATGCAGAATTGATCATGTGTACCAAATGATTGAACTTGCACATAAAATTGATTATGTGTATCAAATTATAAGTGAACTTGTATACAGAATTGATCATCTGTACCAATTTATAATTGCACTTATATGCATAATTGATCGTCTACACTAGATGATTGAACTTCTATGCAGAATTGATTACGTATATCAAACGATTAACTCTATATACAAAATTGCTTATCATCCAAGTGATGGAACTTGTACACATATGTACCAAGTGATTTGTATATAGAATCGATCGTACTATTATGACTAAATTTGTGTAGAGATAGTATGAAGATACTGACACTTTCGTACGGGTCTCCCGTGAAGCCATCCTGGCACGCGCAGGTATAATTTCCGGGAATATTATGGCAAACGGTGTTGTCGCCGCACGCACCGGGTATCGCGCACTCGTTGACGTCTTCGCAGTGCACTTCGCCATCGCCGATATAACCAGACTTGCATTTGCATAGGAAACTCGATGGGAGATTACAGCATTCTGCGTTCTCCACGCATCTCGAGGCAAAGGCCGGGTTGTCGCACTCGTTGATGTCTGCAGATAAGTATCAGCGAGCAATGAGGAAACGAAAACCAGGCATGACAAACAGACGCGCGAGAAAGAATTATTGCTGCATACCTTCGCAGTGGAAACCGTCGCCTCGGTAGCCAGGGAAACAGGAACATAGAAAACTACCGAGAGTATTCGTGCAATGCGCGAATATATCACAGGGTCGGTACTTGCACTCGTTCTCGTCTGAAACCCGATTTGCATGATCTATTATCGCGCTCCATGGATGCGTTTTAATCAACGAGATCATTACTTTGTAATTATTATTTCATTTATACGGGTATTTCACGTTACACGTACTATAAGGTAGTTATTAATTGGGCCAATGATCAAAGCAAAGGCTTTAACAAAATGAGCAACAACTGGTTATTAACTGTCTGGGTATACTATTTAAAATATAGAGTATTAAGTTCAGAGTACAGACCTGGTACTTGACAATTGCAACCCCCGAAACCGTCGTTGCAATGGCAGACGGAATCCAAGCAGACGCCGTTGAGACACCTGGTTCCGTCTTCCTTCGTGCAGTCATCTATTGTCGGAAGAAGAGAAATCAATTTGCCGTGGGTAAACATGGCCCTTAGTCATCGGTGAGAAAACACCGCGCGTAAAAATGTTGATTACGATGAGTAATTCGTTTCCCAGCGCGTTACGCAATGCGTTCATCATCGACAAACAAATGTTGATTACGGTGAGAAACGGCAAGAAAAATCAATGTCGACGGGATTAATCGCGCCGGAAGAATCGATACGAGAAGACACGACGACAGGATACTTCTCATAATTGACCAGCCGGTATTCAAGTATGTGTATTGTAAGCGATAGCCTCGAGCGGTTCGTGAACCTTTTACACGAAGAAAATTCTAACAAAGAAAATTGTCTGAACTTCTTCTGATTTTTATCAATTTTTACGTGCTGATTCGTGTATGTTTTTTATTGTTTAGGTTGTTAACAAATTGGGGGAGATCTGGGTTAGATTGGATTATATTATTTTTAGATTTAGTTGAGATTGTGTTGGTCAGACTGGGTGTAGATTAGGTTAGGTCTATATTTATTTTAAATTTAGATTACGTCTTGAGCAATTAGCTATAGATTGGGTCTGGATTTGACTAAAATTAAATACAATGAGGAGTCTGTATTATAGCTAAATTAAATCTACTAGTGTCATTAAAAATTATCATAAAATGGAACTTTCATAGGTAGAATCTACCAGATGCAAACTGCATCCACATCCCAGAAATAAACTTCTCAGAAGCTTCTCAACCACATATCCAGAAGCATATTTCTCTATCACAATCGCACAAAAAGAGCATGCAAATTGTACAGTTATTCAAAACGATTCGAAGCGATATCCTCAGTAATGAAGGCGTGTGTTGCGGTCTCGCAAGTAACTCAACAGGAATCGGCTGGCTGGCGTAATCGCGTCAGGAACAACAGAATGACGTAAAGAAAGAGTGGAGAACGTAACGGTAGCGTGGTCGAGTCGTGAAACAAGCGAGATCCTCTTTTCCTATCCGCCGCGCCTGCTCACGCGACCGTGCAACTTTTCCACCCGGCTTTTCCCGAGAGGCATCCTCTCGTAACTTACTTGTACACTTTAATCTGTCACGTTGCTCGTCCGTGCCCTGATAGCAGTCGATGTGGTCGTCGCACAGCTTCGACAGCTGCAGGAGCTGCAACACGTCCGTCGACTCGTTCACCTGGCAGCCGAAGTAGCCGTCTTCGATGTTCAGGAAGAATACTTCTCTTCTTAGTCCGCGCCGCACTCCTCGGAGGGACTCGGCCTGAAATGTACATTCGTTTTAACCTCAACACACTTGGTCATTTATTTTAACTTCAACGCGCTTAGTCATTTATTTTAGCCTGTAATAAAATATCATACTCGTATGCCGTCATATTTGTAGGCAAATTTCTATGTTATCGAGGGAACCTCTGAGGGTTGATGACATCAAAATTTGAACAACAGTGTGATATTTTTATACCACAGAATATTATCGTACTTTTGTATTACAAACTTCTCTTATGAAATTTTAATGAAGACAAGTTTTGTGAATTTACTTACTGGACACAGAAGTAGAAGTATCCACACCACCAACGGCCAAAGATGTTTCATCTTGGCTGCAACATAAAGAAACCCTTATAGAGTCACTCTCACGAACAATCAATGTTTTCAAGCTGAACTAATTTCTTGAATTACATAATATTCATGAAGCAAAGTCTTTAGGATTTCGTCCAATGGATTAAAAATCGAGAAAAAATGTAACCACCACAGCAAAAAAGTGTCGACCTACAGCTATTCGTGAAACAGGGGGACTGAGCACCTGTTCGAGTCGCCAACACGTCGGCATTTGCGACCCCTTTTTAGTAAACCCGAAACTGACTGTATCAACTTACGGTGGGCCCTGCAGACCCAGTTTCCTGGTTACCATGATGTTTTGAAATTTAAGAAGCAAAATTAGCTACGAACATGCGTGGCAAAGAGCAACGAAGGATGAGAAGTGATAAATCGAGGAACACAGTGTAACAGGAGATAAGGATAATTAAGAATCCTGTAATTTCCCTTATAAGCTTAAGACCTCAGAATTTATGGCGTATAAAGGAAAATCCCATGATACGAATTGTAACTTTAATTGGCTACTGAATTACCGCGCTTTTTATCGAGGCGGCTTAATACGAGAAACATATGTTATAGCTTAGTGCGCAGGAGATAACTCAGGGTTAATTAGCTTTCGTGACTAAATATCATTAGGTTTGTTTAAAAGACTCGATTGTGGGTGTATTAGACTTCGATGAGTAGTTGGTTAAGGATGAGGAACGTGTAGGAGGAAGTTGGATGAAAGGGCGTGGAAATAGGGAGGTTAGGGAATTTGAGAGTTTGGGAGTTGGGGAGATTTGGGACTTGCGAGGTTGGGAAGTTGAGAGTTTGGGATTTTGGAAGCTTAGGACTTGGAAATTTTGGAAATTGAGAGGTTGGGAACTTGAGGAGTTCGGGGCTTTGAAAGATGGGAAATTGAGACTTTGGGGATTTGGGAGATTGGGAACTGAGGAATGTAGGAATTTGAGAGATTGGAAACTTGGGAGATTTGGGACTTTGGGAGATTGGAAACTGAGGAGTGTAGGAATTTGAGAGATTGGAAACTTGGGAAATTTGGGACTTCGGAAGATTGGAAATTTGGGAATTTGGGAAATTGCGAGTTTGGGGCCTTGAAAGATGGGAAATTGAGACTTTAGGGATTTGAAAGATTGGGAACTGAAGAGTGTAGAATTCGGGAGTTTGAAAATTTGAAAAATTTGCAACTTTGAGAGTTCAGAACTTAGGAGTCCAAGAATTTGAAAGATTGAAAATTAATAAATTTCTTAAATTTATAAAATTACTTTTTTGTAAAGCTAACATTAACCTTGTGAAATTAATAAAAACAAAAATTCGAATATAGAGAAATAAAAACTTGTAAAGACCTGCAAGAGAAAATATAAAGATATAAACATATATACAGGAACTCGATGATAGAACGATTACACAGGCATCGTAATCGAGCGAATAAAGATCAAGGAACGTTGGCAAAGCGTTCGAGAATCGCCGTCGAGATTTCACGAAGCACCGGAAGCGTAATGTTCAAGGGACACCGGTGCACGCGATTCGCGGAAGACGTCTTTTACGTGCGCCGCAACTTATGGCGAACATTCATTCGAACGGACGCATTGTATGCGAGCACGCGGCGAAATGTTAACGACTGTACGTGCAGTCAGAAGGATTCACTGAACAGGAAGGAGCAAGAGGAACGATCGGATAGAAGAAAGAGAACGAGCGAAGGAAAATTAGAGGGACAATTACAGGAACGAGCAAGAGGAACGCAGGAAGACTGCTTAGAAAAACGAGCGCGAAGAAGATGCGGAAAGACATTGTTGAGGAAAATGCGGAGGAACGTGCTCGAAAGAAAGCGAAGAAATTGAAACAAGTTTTGCTTGGCGGAAAGTATGTGAAATGAAAAGTTGGATGGTGTAAAAAATATTTAGATGCATGAAAATTATCTGTGCTCGTTCTTTGTGAATTAAAAAAATATCTACATGTCGTGAATTAAAATATCTATATAGTAAGACATTTATATACAGCTAATTATCTGTGTTTATTCTTTACGAATTAAAAAAATATCTACATACATACAATTAATTAAAATATCTATATACAGTAAGACATCTATACAGCAAATTGTCTGTGTTTATTCTTTGTGAATTAAAAAAATATCTACATATAAATGAATTAAAATATCTATAACCAAGGTATCTATAGTAAGTTAAGAAGGTATCGATACAGCTATATTAAAATAAATTGTAGTTCATTACCCCTTAAGAGTATAATCTCTGTCAAGACTAGTTACAATCCGCAAGTTGTAGTTTTAAATTACAAATAGCTTTATCTTCGGATCAAAACGACCTAATAAATTTGGGATAACGCTACAAAACGATGGTAAGCATATCTCCAACCCGTTACTAACGAGCAGAGGATTGAAGAACAAGGATGAAGGACGGAAAAGAGAAGGAGAAAAGACGCGGAGGAACGTAATAAAGGAGGGCGTGCGAGTGCGATGCACCTGTGGCCCTCCTGCCCCTCCGCAACAACTCGCCGAGACCATCAGTGCCTTCTAGTACCCTTAACTCCTCACTATACGCAGCTGGCGACCCAGCTAGATCATTTTGCCCCTCGTGAAATTTTCGTCACGGAAATTACCCACCCTTGCCACGAATTTCAGATGCATTGCCACTTCCGCCATTGGCGTAACTTCAATTTTCTTTCTATTCATCCACTAACATTATTTGCTAAAAGTGCAAATATCTGGTGTTCGAACAACTTATATATTTTATATATAATATCGATTTATACGTACATGTATAACCTCTATCGGAAATTAACTTTGAAGATTTCTAATATAAGATACGTGAATTAGAGGCGTATATCACACAAGAAAATATTTTAAAATAGTGGGACAAGTCTTCTTCTATTCAGCTATATGAATGGATCAATGAATGTACACTTGTAGATGAACAATTAACATGATTTCGCTGAATTATGTATGATTTGATGGATGATAATTTTATTAGCAAAGAGGTCAGCGTTTCAATTTTAATTTAATGGATATTGAATGGCGTTGCATTCATTATGATGGATGTATCACTAAGAGGAAACTACTGGTTCGATTACGATCCATCATCGGATGCTAACGCCAGGATGTTGAATTAAGCTTCATCCGCGTTTGAAGATCATTACGAAATGACGCTAATTAGCGTACAGTAGTGTCACGGGAATGGAAGCAATTCGCGACGAGAAACAGCGCAAATTGCACAAATTACCACGACTATTACGATAAATCTCAGAGTTATCGCCTTATTAGTCGATCGTTAACATCTAAATGATATTAAAAGCGACCTCGTTTGCAGATTTCTCGAATTTGGATAACTTTCCTTTTATTTAAGTTTCACTTAATTTGCAAGATTCGTTTCGTGTTCAGAATCCTAGATCTTTTCGCGAGAACCGTTATCTTTGTAGGAGTCAGATTTGTGTCAACGGGTGACACCCGGCTTGAACCCGCTGCATTTCTCCTCCGTGGGATTCGTGCGAATCGAATCGATTTTACGTGGCAACACCGATACGCAAATTTTACCGCTAAATGGCACGCGGTTTAATAAATATTCATTTTCGTGAACGTACTCGCACATCCCACAGTTTAGTCGGTGAAGAAGCGAACTTAATAATTAAGACTTTGTTTCAAGCTTCATGCTTCTCGTTAGCCGCCTAACTGTACCTTCGAAATGTTTTCTAACAGGAATTGATCGCTGGCGGATATCGTTAAATTACAGAGTTGCGCTCGTTCAAAGGAACTTCCTCTAATGCAAGCAACAACCCTATCATAATACTAATTATCACATTTTTTTATTTAAGTATTTACATCGTAACTCGGCCATTTTCGTACGAATTTTATGCACGCAATATCGATGTTTACTGATGTATGTTTACTGATTAACCAAGTCAAATATTTGACTCCTTATTTCCTAATTAATTAGCACCCATGATGGACTCAATTATAGGCATTCATTGGTACCGTATTGTTTGTGTAACCTGTTAATGATTGGTATTTTTTTATGCATAGATAGATAGATACTCTTTGAAGTGTGAGCAGAGTGAATAGGGGTTGCAAGTACCTTCGTTGAAAAAACTCATCATTACTGTAAATGTTCGTTTAATTTTCTATCAGTCTTATGTTACCCTTGAAATGGTAAAAACGTGTGTAATTTAATTAACAATTTAAAATATTGTTCCATAATATTTATTCAGTCAAAACTTCCTAGACAATATATTACTCGATGCATAACCTAATGCAACAAAGACTAAACCCTTCTGAAATAAGTCCGAAACCATGAAACGATAAGAGGATTAATCCTTGCAAAGTAACTGTTAATTCCGCTAGAAACCGTAGAATGTTTCATAGGTGAGGCAAGTAACGTTTTGGTGAGAAGCTACTGGACGATCCACGTCCTCCATGCTCAAGGCTGTTCGCGGTAAATTAATTCGTTGCAAACAACGCAGAGATAAACGTTTCATTAGCATTCGTAGATGACGCAACCCTCGTCAGACAATGGCGCGAGTTTCATTTCACCGGCTTCTCCATTTTTTTTATGTCGGATTTTTGCGACTGGCGGAAGTTTCTAGTCGCTCGACGGTTCATTGTCTGCTACTTTCTGAGTTTGTATGCCTCGCATACGAATGAGCGCGGACTTCCTGAGTTGACAACCTTTGACCTTGAGTAACCTTCGCGGTGAACTGGTCACAATTTTACTCTGAAAATTCGTACTTCTGTAATTTCTACTCCGGTACAAAAATTGAATCAAATTTTTGTTATAAATTAACCTTCTTGTAATTAAACCCATCAGCCCTTCAATATTTCTCACAATTTATTCACTTAAAATAGGTGCTGTATCTGAAAAAGTTCTCAATCGTACAAATATTTCCTTCCATAAAAGAGAGTCAGTCCACAGTATTTAATTTTCCCAGCAACGAATTTCAGTTTCAATGATCCGTGAAAGCCTTGAAAGTGAAGACACCGTGCGAATGAACCGGGCAAGAA